ACCTTCCATTGTTTAGCTACCTAGCTAGCTAGCTGGTGGATGTTTTCCTTTTGAAACCAGGGCAGAGGAAAGCAACATTCACCTCTACGAATGCTGTTTACATTGATACCCGTACTGAATGAAGCACTTAAGGGACCTCATGGGCACCCTTAACTTTTTCACTTAATTTGTGCAATTGACTTAAAGTTAAGGAAACTTTAAGTGAAAAGATAAGGGGGGAAATTAACTAAAGATGTTTTATGCAACCGGGCCCAGGGCTAGAGAAGCCACACTGCCCTGCTCAGTATTGTGCCACCTAAAGGCTAGACTCCAGAGCACAGTTTGGTAACCATACGACAAGATATGGTTCCCCTTAAGTGCTAAGTAGTACAGTGTGATTGCTCTCACAGACTACAAGATGACTGTAAAAGGTTTTACTTGTTTTTGGACTTTTTTACATATGTATCTACGTGTTGTGTTTTATCCTTTGTTCTCCGTAACTCTAGAACTGGAATCGAGTTCCCTGGCTCCTCTTCCGACTGACTCCATCCCACAGCGCAGTCCGGGGGGGGGGGGGGGGGGGGGGGGGGGGGGTTGATTAGATTAACCCTTGTCTTCCATTAGATTAACCCTTGTCTTCCTGCCTTGCCATATGTTTGCTATAGTAAAGAGAAAGACAAATCTATCGTTTCGCAAACAAAGACTCATCCTCTTAACCTAGACACGGTCTATATAAGAACCAGATCCACTTGTACAACGACTGCATACAGGTGTTAAAAAAGGTACACTGTACACAAATAGAGACTGTGCAGGACTGTAATTTGCGTTTGTGCGACATTTGAGAGAAGCTGTGATGGGCAGATCTGTGAGACCAGCAGAGAAAGGAGCTGATAGAAGCCCAGGCTGCTTTCCCTGCCAATCCCAACGTTTCACTTGCTTATCTGCGCTGCTGCAGTGGTGGTGACGCGTCGCTAACACTACACAGATAGAGCACAGCGTTTGTCTCTCTCCCTAGTTTATCTGCAGGTTAGTCCCAGCTAACAACAAACGTTCCCACAACTTTAGAGAACGTTCCCTTTTAAGAGTCTCATTAGGCCATTAACTAACGGTTTCATAGGAATGTTCCCATGATGTGCCAGGAATGTTCCCAAGAGACCATTCTCTTAATGTCAAATATAATTTATCCAGAATGTCGTTACCATGTTCTCAGAACTTAAGGTATTAATGAACTAGACACATTTCATTGGAAAGTTGCAAGAACATTCATGTGTCCAGTTTTCCGAGGGTTAGGAGAATATTCCATCAACGTCCCACCAAACATACACAGAACATGGTTGCCACGTTCTCAGAACATAAGATATTAATGTTCTAGACACGTTTTATGGGAACGTTGCGAGAACATTTGTATCAAACAAATATGTCATTACACATCATGTCTTGTTACTGTTGACGAGCATATCAAGGCCCTGATTGGTGAACCACTGATCCATTCATAGGTTTTTGTCTGTTGGCAAGGGAAACTCACACACACTGTGTTTTTAACATTGTGTTTTCAACTTAAATATTTAACACACTTTGACATAAATGATTACATTGTGCATGTTCAATAATACAGTAATTATTATTCAAGATGTCCTCAACTGGAATTTGAATTTGAATTCTTGGTTCATGGTACTCTGATCTTCCTGCTACGCAACCATGTCCGTGTCAGATGTCAGTCAATCTGGCTATTCTTTTATCATTGATTCTATTTACTAATTTCATAAATTTAAGAGCTTTCTGTATAGTTGCCTAATGTTAGTGGGGCATATTAACCTGTTTTTAAATGAATCACTATGATCAATAATAGTTTTTCTTGAGTGTACTTTTAACAGAGCTGAGATTTACTTCAAAGTGCATTCACCCTATTGCTTACACCTATCCAGTTGTTTCAGATCTACACAAGTGCCAAGGGAGAAGGGGTTAGGGTTTGCTTCTGGACAGGGCCTAACTATACTGGCTCAATAAGCACATGCATATTCCTTATTGGCACAGTGGTTAAGGTGTTCGAGACAAACTAGGGGAGTAACCCTACTCTCACATTCTTAGCAACATATGTTAACGTCATTATTGCCATTTTGAATTGCATTTATCAGACATGTTGATTGTTTAAATGGAACTCTAAACATCTCCCGAGTGGCGCAATGGTCTATGGCACTGTATTGCTGTGCCGCTAGAGATCCTGGTTTGAATCCAGGCTCTGTCGTAGCCGGCCGCGACCAGGAGACCCATGTGGCGGTGTGCAATTGGCCCAGCGTCGTCCAAGATAGGGGAGGGACTGGCCGGCAGGGATGTAGCTCAGTTGGTTGAGCATGGCATTTGCAACGCCAGGGTTGTGGGTTCAATTCCCACGGTGGGCCAGTAATTTTTTTTATATATAGATAAAAAAGAATAATGTATGCACTCACTAACTGTAAGTCGCTCTGCATAAGAGTGTCTGCTAAATGACGAAAATGAAATATCGTTAGAACACTTGGACATTTTATTTATGCATCTTTGTATATTATCACAATGTGTGTAGATTTCTACATTTTTTTATTTAAGTATCAAAAGTAAATGGAATTGCTCAAATGTACTGAAGTATCAAAAGTAAAAGTATAAATTATTTCAAATTCCTTATATTAAGCAAAACATACGGCACCATTTTCTTGTTTTTTTAAATGTACTGATAGCCAGGGGCAAACTCCGTCACTCAGACATCAACATTTACAAACAAAGCATTTGTGTTTAGTGAATCTACCAGATCAGATGCAGTAGGGATGACCAGGGATGTTCTCTTAATAAGTGTATGAATTGGACCAATTTCCTGTCAAAATGTAACGAGTACTTTTGGGTGTCAGGGAAAATGTATGGAGTAAAAAGTACATTATATTCTTTAGGAATGTAGTGAAGTAAAAATAAAAGTGGTCAAAAATATAAATAGTAAAGTAGAGTACAGATACCCCAAAAAATACTTAAATAGTACTTTAAAGTATTTTTACTTAAGTACTTTACACCACTGGATTTCTCCTCTTTCACACATTTCTGGAACTTTGGCTACCAACTTTGTGCCTTTGTGCATGACCTCTAGATGCTTTTTCAGGTTTAATGTGGTGTTTCTGGACCAAGAGATCAACGCTGCCTTAGCAGAGTTTGCATTTGACAAAAATGTTGTTCTCTTTCTCCTCGATTAACTCAACATAATGAGAACATTTCATGTTAAAAGCATAGTGTGTGAGTTTCCATAACCTTGCCAACAGACAAAAGGAGCTGTGAACGGATCTGTGGTTCACCAATCAGGGCCTTGATGGGCTTGGCAACAGCAACAAGGTGTGACGTGTAATGAAAAACATTTTTGGGGAGAATAACATTTCTATGGGACCATCAGACCTGACAACTGATACACAGAAATGTTCTTGCAGCGTTCCTATGAAACATGTCTAGAACATTCATATCTTATATTCTGAGAACGTGGCAACCATGTTCTGTGTATGTTTGATGTGACGTTGATGGAATATTCTCCTAACCCTCGGAAAACTGGACACATTAATGTTCTTGCAACGTCCCATAAAACGCGTCTAGAACATGAATGTTGTATATTCTGAAAACATTACCATGAAGGAAAGGGAATGTTCTCCTAACTTTAACACCAAAACATTTTTAAAAGGCCGTTAGAAGGTTTTTGTTAACATAGATAGAATGTTCCCCTAACTAATGGAAAACTGGACGCTCAAACATTAGGGGAAAATTACGATAACATTACAAAAATGTTGTCTCTCCTTAGAATTGTTAGCTGGGATGCTGCTCAGTGGGTGATAAAGCTGGTTTGCTCTCTGGTGTGAGACGATTCCACAGCTGCTGAGACAAGCTCTCTGTGCCTGTACAGAGATGGCAGGAAGTGTATTGCAAGGCCAGCAGAGGCAGTTTAAAAATTGGATCCGACACACTGTTTTAATTAACATGAAATGCCCTTTGCAGCCTCACTGTTACATCTAACAACCCTACTTTTGTCATCTGTTGCGTAATCCATGTCGCCACTAATATTAGAAAAATGTAACTTTATCTGTTTCTATATATACGACTAGTGATGGGAAACCAAATTGTGCCGAAAAACGGTTCACTACTCAGCGCTTTTAATACAATGCACATCAGTGAAATCTGCTGGTCAGGAATAAATATCGGCATGTTTTATATTTATATTTTAAAAAAATCTGCATTCATTAAAACTTTTGTGGCGCAATGGATTGGTGTGAGCTTTAATAAAGAAAATGTAGTTTGAATGTGGGGTTCACATCCTGCTGGACTTCTTTGCCTTCCGGTTCACTATTTTCTCAAAAACTGTGCATCCGTGGTATTATTTAGGATGCTGAAGACAAACCATTACCATAGGCTTTACTAAATAAAACAGATTATTTGAACAACAATGTCCAGATAGTGTGGTTTCAAATAAAATAATTTTCCAAATTTAGCCAGGATTCAATCCCTTGCCTATGGTGTCTGGATGATTCCTAATCCTCGACCCTATCTGCTGGGCTACCGTTCAGGAACAACAGCGGAAGCTTCGGACGTCATGTGATCACGTGATAATGGTACTCCACAGGGCGAGAATCTCACTCACCACTGCTCCACAGGCTGAGCCACCTGTCAAGTGAAAGTAAGTGATGAATATCTAGAGTTTGCAAGCGGTGTCCAGCAGAGGTCGATGTTTTGAAAGACTATCTAGAGAAAGTTTGGAAGTAGTGTCCAGCACAAGTCGATGTTTTGAAAGCCACAGCGGGATCAAACAGACCTTTGTGCGTCATTTATCACGTGTAACTGCCGGTCAACTTTTGAATTTAATTTAACTTAAATTAAACTTTTTTAACTCGCTTTGACATATTAACAAACAACTTTGGATCCATATATTGATCATTACATATAACAACTAGAGCTGTTTAAATTGAAATTGGTTCTCTTAAGATTCAGTACTAGTGTTATGTGATTTGAAGATAGATTATTTTGCCATGTGGCTCTATGCCCTGAGCTATCTTTCCACCTGTCAAGCAGGTGACATTTCTAGATAAAAACAGAAAGCTTCCAGCAGAAGTCTGCGCTCTCTGTCCAGCAGTTCCTACACGTGTCAGATGGTAGTGTGACGTCCGAAGATGCAAACGTCATCAATCACGTGGTATTGTTACGTTGATACAAGCATCGGTACTTTTCTATCAGATCAGAGTGCCTTGAAAATGTAAGACAAGCTTCCAAGTTTTGATATCACGCGTCCCATCAATACTCTGTAACATATGATGCTGAGCACAGGAGGTTGGTGGCACCTTAATTGGGGAGGACAGGCTCGTGGTAATAACTGGAGAAGAATCGGTGGAATGGTATCAAATACATCAAACACATGGTCTCCAGCTGTTTGATGCCATTCCATTTGCTCCGGTCCAGACATTATTATGAGCCGTTCTCCCCTCAGCAGCCTCCTGTGATGCTAAGTTATGGTGTGTCCCATCACTACTCTATACTATAAAGTATGACGCTAAGGTATGGTGTGCCCCATCACTACTCTATACTATAAAGTATGACGCTAAGGTATGGTGTGTCCCATCACTACTCTATACTATAAAGTATGACGCTAAGGTATGGTGTGTCCCATCACTACTCTATACTATAAAGTATGACGCTAAGGTATGGTGTGCCCCATCACTACTCTGTACTATAAAGTATGACGCTAAGGTATGGTGTGCCCCATCACTACTCTATACTATAAAGTATGACGCTAAGGTATGGTGTGCCCCATCACTACTCTATACTATAAAGTATGACGCTAAGGTATGGTGTGCCCCATCACTACTCTATACTATAAAGTATGACGCTAAGGTATGGTGTGCCCCATCACTACTCTATACTATAAAGTATGACGCTAAGGTATGGTGTGCCCCATCACTACTCTATACTATAAAGTATGACGCTAAGGTATGGTGTGTCCCATCACTACTCTACACTATAAAGTATGACGCTAAGGTATGGTGTGTCCCATCACTACTCTATACTATAAAGTATGACACTAAGGTATGGTGTGCCCCATCACTACTCTATACTATAAAGTATGACGCTAAGGTATGGTGTGCCCCATCACTACTCTATACTATAAAGTATGACGCTAAGGTATGGTGTGTCCCATCACTACTCTACACTATAAAGTATGACGCTAAGGTATGGTGTGTCCCATCACTACTCTATAACGTATGATGTGTATCCTACTTACCTGATGAAATATTACGTTATTTATCAGGTGGGTCATTTGCAGGTCAGAGCTGAGGATGCCAGGGTGGTGTGTTTAAATTGCATCGGGAAACTTTTTGTTTTAGATGTTTTGTTGTTGCTGCTCAGCAGTGGCGCTTTGTTGGAGGCTGTCTGTGTTGGTCAGAAATGTGCTTTGAAGATAGCCACACTCTGGCCCTGAGGTAAAGGCAGAATGGGAGCCTCTTTTGAACGACAGAATTTTGCTGACCTTTGCTGCTACTGCACATTTGACACACAAGTAAAGTGCTTACGGCACAGAAGATCATGGCACTATGGTGTCTTCATTTATTAATTTGAAATGAAAGTGCTTTCATCTTGTTCTGAAGACATTGTCCAAAGAGTACAGTACACCTACCGGTACGTACAGTATCGTACTGTAGAGCGCTGCTGTCTGAACCGTTGTTGTCTGTCTTGAAGAAATGCCTGTTTTGCACAATGCATCTACAGTAGGAGTTCATTGAGGCAAGGCATTTAGGTCATGGGTAGCACACACTAAAACTGAACACTTTCATCAAGGTCAGAACTATCCAATTTACAGTTTGATCATGAATAAGGATCTTTCCCCAGTACTTATGGTTCAACTCTAGCTGAGCCCTGCGTGCAAGCTTTTGTGGAGGATACATGTATTCAAAAAGCAGTGTTCTTTAAACATCTGTCAGAGAAGTGGATTTCTCACTTCCCAAGGCTGTTGTTAGGATCATTGTTAGAGAATGCTCAGAGGAAGCACTGTCATTTATCAATGCGGACATATCACTGTACTGTACATTCACAGTAATGATGAATCTGTTGCTACTCCGTATCATTAATTACACCTAACCATGTTTCTATTATGTTTCAATGCTTTTATCAGTAATACATTACCCGTTTTAGGATTAATTACTTGGGAAAGTAATATTACATGTTGCTTCACAAATGTAACTTTACAATATTACTTTTTGAGGAAAGTACCCCGTTATATTTAAGCAATAAGGCACAAGTGGGTGTGGTATATGGGCAATATATCACGGCTAACGGCTGTGCTTAGGCAGGAAGCAACGCCTGGATACAGCCCTTAGCTGTGGTATATTGGCCATATAGCACAAACTCCCGAGGTGCCTTATTGCTATTATAAAACTGGTTACCAACGCAATTAGAACAGTAAATAGTAATTTTTTGTCATACCCGTGGTATACGGTCTGATATACCACGGCTTTCAGCCAATCAGCATTCAGGGCTCGAACCACCCGCTTTATAATACTCGTTATATTACTTTCCGTTACTTTCATGAAAAAAAAATCTCAATCTCACCGTTTGTTTGACTGTTGGAGGAAGCACGGCAAGCCGCACACACTCAACCAAAGATAGTCTACTTACCAACTCAGGTTTGATCACTAGTGTCTCCTTTCATCTGTGGCGCTGCCTTCCTGTGCTAGTCTACAAGTTATGTGCCGTATATGGGCTGCTTAATTAGCCATATACAGTATACTGTAAGCCAAGCATCTGTACAGATTTCTAATATTTTCATTCAAAATCTTTCTCTCGAGTCGCCAGTTCTGGTTATAGACCGCACATGCACGGACCCATAGAGTTGTATAGAGGGCACACTTGCCACTAGACGGGAAAAGCCCTCTATGGGCTTTTCTATCACAGAAGCGATCAATGGCAAAGATCAGAGGTGCGCCCTCTATATATTTCAATGGACAGCAGCTGTCATGACATTTCTCCAAACAGCCTTTCTCCGCTCGCTCGAGAACTAAATGAGGAAAACAAGTTGAAATCGATCATGGAAACACGCGCCCGGTAGAGATATGATTCTGAAAGTAACACATGCATTGTTTGACAAAGTAACTGCAATAATATTACCCAATTCGGGGAAAAAGTAACTAATCTGATTACATGACGCGTAACTTTTGTAACACATTACTGTGTGTGTACAATATACCAAAAACAATGTCTCAGAAGAGAAGATCCTTATTTTCACGGTAATACTTTTGCTACAAAACACAATGACAATTATAAACAGAAAGCCACACTAGACAGAAACCCCAAGCCTCACTCCCTCCACCAGATCGACTTATCATTAAACATATGGAGGAACTTAAATCTGAGGGATTTTACAGTGCCTTCAGAAAGTAGTCATACCCCTTGACTTATTCCACATTTTGTTATGTTACAGCCTGAATTCAAAATTGATTAAATAAAACAATTTCTCACCCATCTACACACAATGCCCCATAATGACAAAGTTTAAACATGTTTTTATACTTTTTTTGCAAATGTATTGAAAATGAAATACAGAAATATATCATTTAAATAATTTACAACCCTTTGCTATGAAACTCCAAATTGAGCTCATGTGCATCCAATTTCCTTTGATCATTCTTGAGGTGTCACTACAACTTGATTGGAGTCCACCTCAAATCAAATCAAATGTTATTTGTCACATACACGTGTTTAGCAGATGTTATTGCGGGTTTAGCTAAATGCTTGTGCTTCTAGCTCCGACAGTGCAGTAATATCTAACAATTTCACAACATATACCCAATACACACAAATCTAGTAAGGAATGGAATTTAAGAATATATACATATATGGACAAGCAATGACAGAGCGGCATGGACTAAGATACAGTAGAATATTATACAATAGAATACAGTATATACAGTGCCCTCCACAATTATTGGCACCCCTGTTTAAGATGTGGTCGAGGACTTCCAAAAATTATCCTTTTTTTTTTAAACAACATAGAACCCAAATGCAAAAAAAGAGAAAAATCCAACCTTTTATTTAAGTACATTACTTTGGTGTAAAAAAAAAAATCACACATTTAGAAAAAAAAAAACTTGAAATCATGTGTCCCACAATTATTGGCACCCCTGATGTTAATACTTTGTACAACCCCCTTTTGCCAACAAGACAGCACTTAATCTCCTCCTATAACATTTCACAAGATTGGAGAACACAGAGAGAGGGATCTTTGACCATTCTTCTTTGCACAATCTTTCTAGATCATCCAGTGTCCTGGGTCCTCTCTTATGCACTCTCCTCTTTAGCTCGCCCCACAGGTTTTCGATTGGGTTGAGGTCTGGGGACTGAGATGGCCATGGGAGGACCTTGAGTTTGTGACTGCTGAACCATTTTTGTGTAGATTTTGCCACATGTTTTGGATCATTATCCTGCTGAAAGACCCAATGACGACCCATCTTCAGCTTTCTGGCAGAGGCCATCAGGTTTTTATTTAAAATGTCCTGGTAGTTCAAAGCGTTCATAATGCCATGCACCCTAACAAGGTTCCCAGGGCCTTTGGAAGAGAAACAGGCCCACAGCATCACAGATCCTCCACCATACTTCACGGTGGGCATGAGGTGCTTTTCGGCATACTCATCTTTTGTTTTACGCCAGACCCACTTAGAGTGTTTGTTGCCAAAAAGCTCAATCTTAGTCTCATCTGACCAAAGCACACGATCCCAGTTGAAGTCCCAGTGCCGCTTAGCAAACTCCAGACGTTTACGTTTGTGAGTGTTAGTGAGAAAAGGCTTTTTCCTTGCATGCCTCCCAAACAGCTTGTTGGCATGTAGAGAGCGTCTGATGGTTGTTTTGGAGACTTTGTGACCCCAAGATGCCACTCTTTGATGCAATTCTGTGACAGTGAGCTTAGGACTTTTTTTTACTTCTCTTACCATCCTCCTCACTGTGCGTTGTGGCAAGATAAACTTGGGACCTCTTCCAGCCTTGTTTGTCACTGTTCCAGTTGTTTTAAACTTCTTAATGATTCCTCTGACTGTAGATACGGGCAAGTTAAGGCGAGTGGCTATTTTCTTGTAGCCATTGCCTGACTTATGAAGGTCGACACAAATCTGCCTTACTTGAATGGTGTGTTCTCTTGTCTTTGCCATGTTGACAAATGGGTAAGAGAATTAGGCCTCTGTGTCACGTCATATTTATACCCCAGGGAAACAGGAAGTCATTAATTACTAATTAAAAGTTCCTAGATACCCTGACCAACTTTAGCAACTACAGAAAAATATATTTTTAAAAATATCCATTAAAATTTTCTGCGGAATTGTAAGGGGTGCCAATAATTGTGGGACACATGATTTCAAGTTTTATTTTTTCTAAATGTGTGATATTTTTTTAAACCACCAAAGTAATGTACTTAAATAAAAGGTTGGATTTTTCTCTTTTTTTGCATTTGGGTTCTATGTTGTTTTAAAAAAAAGGATAATTTTTGGAAGTCCTCGACCACATCTTAAACAGGGGTGCCAATAATAGTGGAGGGCACTGTACATATGAGATGAGTAGTGCAAGATATGTAAACATTATTAAAGTGACTAGTGTTCCATTTCTTAAAGTGGCCAGTGATTTCAATAGGCAGCAACAGCCTCTAATGTGCTAGTGATGGCTATTTAAAAGTCTGATGGCCTTGAGATAGAAGCTGTTTTTCATTCTCTCGGTCCCAGCTTTGATGCACCTGTACTGACCTCGCCTTCTGGATGATAGCGGGGTGAACAGTGGCTCGGGTGGTTGATGTCCTTGATGATCTTTTTGGCCTTCCTGTGACATCGGGTGCTGTAGGTGTCTTGGAGGGCGGGTAGTTTGCCCCTGGAAAATGCGTTCGGCAGACCGCACCACCCTCTGGAGAGCCCTGCGGTTGCCGTACCAGGCGGTGATACAGCCCGACAGGATGCTCTCAATTGTGCATCTGTAACAGTTAGTGAGGGTTTTAGGTGCCAAGCCACATTTCTTCAGCCTCCTGAGGTTGAAGAGGCTCTATTGCGCTTTCTTCACCACACTGTCTGCGTGGGTGGACCATTTCAGTTTGTCAATGATGTGTATGCCAAGGAACTTGAAGCTTTCCACCTTCTCCACTGTGGTCCCGTCGATGTGGATAGGGGGGGTGCACCCTCTGCTGTTTCCTGAAGTCCACGATCATCTCCTTTGTTTTGTTGACATTGAGTGAGAGGTTATTTTCCTGGCACCACACTCCCAGAGCCCTCACCTCCTCCCTGTAGGCGGTCTCGTCATTGTTGGTAATCAAGCCTACTACTGTTGTGTCGTCTGCAAACTTGATGATTGAGTTGGAGGCGTGCTTGGCCACGCAGTCATGGGTGAACAGGGAGTACAGGAGGGGGCTGAGCACGCACCCTTGTGGGGCCCCAGTGTTGAGGATCAGCGAAGTGGAGATGTTGTTTCCTACCTTCACCACCTAGGGGCGACCCATGACCCAGTTGCGCAGGGCGGGGTTCAGAGGTATTCCTCTTGTCCAGATGGGATAGCGCAGTGTGCAGTGTGATGGCGATTGCATCGTCTGTGGATCTATTTGGGGCGGTAAGCAAATTGAAGTGGGTCTAGGGTGACAGGTAAGGTAGAGGTGATATGATCCTTGACTAGTCTCTCAAAGCACTTCATGATGACAGAGATGAGTGCTACGGGGCGATAGTCATTTAGTTCAGTTACCTGGAACAATGGTGGCCATCTTGAAGCATGTGGGAACAGCAGACTGGGAAAGGGAGATATTGAATATGTCCGTAAACACACCAGCCAGCTGGTCTGCGCATGCTCTGAGGACTCGGCTAGGGATGCCGTCAGGGCCGGCATCCCTAGCCGAGAAGGTGTTTAGCTTGTCTGGAAGCGAGAAGTCGGTGTCGGCGACGTGGCTGGTTTTCCTTTTGTAGTCTGTGATTGTCTGTAGACCCTGCCACATACATCTTGTGTCTGCGCCGTTGAATTGCGACTCCACTTTGTCTCTATACTGATGTTTTGCCAGTTGAATTGCCTTGCGGAGTGAGTAGCTACACTGTTTGTATTCTGCCATATTCCCAGTCACCTTGTCATGGTTAAATGCGGTGGTTCGCGCTTTCAGTTTTGTGTGAATGCTGCCATCTATCCACGGTTTCTGGTTATTGTCACGGTTTCGGCCGAGGCGGCTCCTTCTCCTTGTTCGGGCAGGCTTCGGCGGTCGTCGTCTCCGGAGTACTAGCTGCCACCGTTCGATGTTTCATGTTTGATTGGTTTTGTCTGTTTGTTACACCTGTTGATTGTTAAGTGTTCATTAGGCACCCTATTTAGTTCTCTTGTGTTTGGTCAGGTGTTGTGTGTAATTGTTCGATGTCACGTGTTGTTGTTGGTCCTCTGTTTTGTGCTCTCAGTATTTCGTTTTGCTTAGAGAGTCCTGCACGTTGTGCGTACTTACTTTGGACAGTCCGGTGTGCGTTTGTTTTCACCTATGACCTGTTGCCGTGTTGGCTTGTATTACGGACTTCACTAAAGACATCTGTTTTCGAATCTCTGTGTCCTGCGTATGATTCCACGTTCCCTCTACACTCAACCCTGACAGTTATGGTAGGTTTTAATAATCACAGTTGACACAACATCACCTATACACTTCCTGATAAACTCAGTCACAGTTTCAGTGTATTCGTCTAAATTATTTTCGCAAGCTACCCGGAACATATCCCAGTCCGTGTGATCAAAACAATCTTGAAGCGTGGATTCCGATTGGTCAGACCAGCGTTGAATAGTCCTTAGCACGGGTACTTATTCCTGTTTGAGTTTCTGCCTATAGGAAGGGAGGAGCAAAATGGAGCCATGGTCAGATTTGCCGAAAGGAGGCTCGGGGGAGGGTCTTATAACCATCCCGGAAGTTCGAATAGCAATGGTCGAGGATTTTAGCAGCGCGAGAACAACAGTCAATATGTTGATAGAACTTCGGCAGCCTAGTCCTCAAATTTGCTTTGTTAAAATCCCCGGCTACAATAAATGCAGCCTCAGGATATGTGGTTTCCAGTTTGCATAAAGTCCAGTGAAGTTCTTTGAGGGCCGTCGTGGTATCGGCTTGAGCGGGGATATATACGGCCATGACTATAACCAAAGAAAATTATCTTGGGAGATTATACGGTCGGCATTTGATTGTGAGATATTCTAGGTCAGTTGAACAGAAGGACTTGAATTCCTGTATGTACAGTGAGGGAAAAAAGTATTTGATCCCCTGCTGATTTTGTACGTTTGCCCACTGACAAAGAAATGATCAGTCTATAATTTTTATGGTAGGTTTATTTGAACAGTGAGAGACAGAATAACAACAACAAAATCCAGAAAAACGCATGTAAAAAATGTTATAAATTGATTTGCATTTTAATGAGGGAAATAAGTATTTCACCCCCTCTCAATCAGAAAGATTTCTGGCTCCCAGGTGTCTTTTATACAGGTAACGAGCTGAGATTAGGAGCACACTCTTAAAGGGAGTGCTCCTAATCTCAGCTTGTTACCTGAATAAAAGACACCTGTCCACAGAAGCAATCAATCAGATTCCAAACTCTCCACCATGGCCAAGACCAAAGAGCTCTCCAAGGATGTCAGGGACAAGATTATTCGTATTCCTGGTCATAATGCTGGTGAGTAACCGCCGCTCTGATATCCAATAGTTTTTCCCGGCTGTATGTGATGATACAAAACACTTTCTGAGTTAATAATATAAAAAATTATACATTAAAAAAAAATAATACCGCAAAGTTTCCTAAGAGCTAGTCGCATAGGCCGCCATCCTCGTCGGCGCCAGGTACATTCTGTGGTAAATTCAATTGTTTGGACAGAAAAAAAACACACCTGTCTGTATAAGGTCCCACAGTTGACAGCGCATGTCAGAGCAGAAACTATACCATGAAGTCCAAGGAACTGTCCGTAGATCTCAGAGATAGAATTGTGATGAGGCATACATCTGGGGATGCGTATAAAACAATTTCTAGAGTGTTTCCAAGTGCACAAACTGAGCAACCGGGCAAGAAGGACCTTGGTCAGAGAGGTTGACCAAGAACCCAATGACCACTCCGACAGAACTACAGAGTTCCTTGGCTGAGATGGGAAAACCTGCCAGATGTCTCTACAGCACTTTACCAATCTGGGCTTCATGGGAGAGTGGCCAGACAGAAGCCACTCCTGAGAAAAATGCACGACACATGGAATTTGCAAAAAATGATTGTGAAAGACTCTGAGACCATAAGGCAAAAGATCATGTGGTCTAATGAGACAAAATGTTTACTCTTTGACCTGAATGCAAAGCACTATGTCTGGAGAAAACCAGGCACAGCTCATCACCCGTCTAACACCATCCCTACCGTGAAGCATTGTGGTGGCAGGCAGCATCATGCTATGGGGATGCTTTTCAGCAGCAGGGACTGGGAGACTGGTAAGGATGGAGGGAGCAGTGAATGGAGCCAAATACAGGCAAATCCTTGATGAGAATCTGCTTCAGAGTGCAAACGACCTTAGACTGGGGCGAAGTTTTACGTTCCAACAGGACAATGACCCAAAGCATAGAAAGCATACAGCCAAAGCAACGCTGGAAGGGCTTCAGAACAAGAATATGAATGTCCTTGAGTGGCCCAGCCAAAGCTCAGACTTTAATCCCATTGAAAATCTGTGGAAATAATTGAAGATTGCTGTTCACCGCCGCTCCCCATCTAATTTAACAGAGCTTGAAAAAATCTGCAAGGAAGAATGGGAGAAAATACCCAAATCCAGATGTGCAAAGCTGATACAGACATACCCAACACAACTCAAAGCTGTAATCGCTGCCAAAGGTGCTTCCACAAAGTATTGACTCAGGTGTGTGAATGCTTATGTAAATGAGATATTTCTGTATTTCATTTTCAATAAATTAGCAAACATTTCTAAAAACAAGTTTTCACTTTGTCATTATCGGGTATTGTGTGTAGATGAGTGAGAAAAATATTGATTTAATCAATTTTGAATTCAGGCTGTAACACTACAAAGTGTGGAATGTCAAGGAGTATGAATACTTTCTGAATGAACTGTATATGGGGGAATATTGATGAGCCTGGGTTATGGATACGGGGAAGGAATGCCATTAATTCAGATGGTTCAGCTACATTCACACGTCACCCGTCTAAGTTCTAAGTCGTGTTTCTCAAAGAGAGAAGAGAGGCGAGGAAGGAAGGGGGAGAGGGGGGTCACTGAAGAAGTTCTCTCCACTTCAAAGATCCTTCTCACTATGATCACCCCAGACTCCAGATTGACTCAGTGCGAAAATACTCATCATTTCCATTTCCAGTGTTGAAAGGGGGGGAACCAAATGCTACATTTGGTGGTTTTCAAACTCAGGGCCCTTGGGAAAGCAGATATGAAGCAGCACATTTACTTTGGCTGAGGAGAATACACTGGCATGCAGGCAGTAGCACCTCAGTCTGGCTGTCACAGTTTTAGGTGTGGTGACAGTGATTTCAGGTGACTGGCGTGAAAACAACCGGAGCAGCTCTGCCTCGCACACAGTCTTCTGTGTAGCTCGTGATATCCTCTGTTCTCTTTATGCAGTGGCACTGTGATAAACAAACCACTCATGATCAAAAACCATTACGCCTTTATAATACCCGTTTATTTACGAATCTGCCTTTTAAAGGAAAGAGGACACACGTGTACTATAGAAGCTGAGAGTAGAGGAAATAATCTGAGGCTACACTGTATACGTTCAGTCAACTCAAGTGGTTCTGTAAGTCACAACGTCATTGTGGCTTTTCCCATACAGCAGGTGAAGCCAAGAAAGGAGGCGTAAAGAAAGGAGGTGTAAAGAAAGGTGGTGTAAAGAAAGGTGGTGTAAAGAAATGTGGTGTAAAGAAATGAGGTGTAAAGAAAGGAGGTGTAAAGAAAGGAGGCGTAAAGGACATTTTAGTGACTTACAAAGGATCAAAAGAAAAGTTAATATTAAGATCACTTTATTCGTCAATTGTACACAAGGTCCAGCCGAAATGAGACTACTGCCTTATCCCAACCTCCAAAACACACACATACAGTACATATACAGGTTGGCTCAGGGGACTGTTACATACATATAGAGGCTCAAGAGGTTGGATCAGGGGACTGTTACATACATATAGAGGCTGAAGAGGTTGGATCAGGGGACTGTTACATACGTATAGATGCTGGAGAGGTTGGATCAGGGGACTGTTACATACATATAGATGCTGGAGAGTTTGAATCAGGGGAGTGTTACATACATATAGAGGCTGAAGAGGTTGGATCAGGGGACTGTTACATACATATATAGGCTGGAGAGGTTGGATCAGGGGACTGTTACATACATATAGAGGCTCAAGAGGTTGGATCAGGGGACTGTTACATACATATAGATGCTGGAAAGGTTGGATCAGGGGACTGTTACATACATATAGATGCTGGAGAGGTTGGATCAGGGGACTGTTACATACATATAGAGGCTGGAGAGGTTGGATCAGGGGAGTGTTACATACATATAGAGGCTGGAGCAGGGGACTGTTACATACATATAGAGACTGGAGCAGGGGACTGCCACATTGGGCGCACATGGAGCAATTGTTGTGGGGGGTTAAGTGCCTTGCTAAAGGGGAACAACGGCAGGCAATGGCATCTAGGATTTGATACCAGCAACCCTCTGTTGCTAGCTCACTTCCTGACACATTTTTTTTCCATGTCAGACCCAGGATTCAAACTGGCAACCCTCCGGCTGCGGGCTCGCCTCTCTAACCGTTAGGCTACCTGCCACCCCGGCACCTAAGCGTGGTTTACTTTACCTAAGTAAAGTACCGAAATGTGGTATACCATCAAATATGCCCAGTCTAATTAGCCTGTACCTTCGGTGTTTGTCTTGTAGGCCTGACAGTGCTGCAGAAGATTCTGGACACGGCAGCAGAGAAGACGTGGCAGGTGACATCAGTGAACCTGGACAGCGGTATGGATCAGGCGGCCTTCCTGAAAGTGGTTCAGGACCTAGAGAAGAAGAAGGAATACAACATCATCCTGGACTGTGAGCTGGAGAGACTCAACCTGATACTCAACCTGGTAAATAACATCAGATTGATGGACAGTCCAGTAGTGAAAAAGGGGGAAGGTGACTATTGAGAACTTAATGAATGAAGAGATGGTCTGTAAACAAGACAGATTAGTTCAGTAATTGGATGGGATGGGTTCACTCCGACAAGAAGTCCATTGCAGCTAGAGTAACAACACAACCCTTCCTCCTCTCACTGAGTTGTTCAACTCAAACTAACAAAGGTTCAGTTACAAGGGTTAAGTCTGAACACTGTGTGATGTTGTTCTAGTGTCTCTGTTCTATACTGGGCTAGTCTTTGGGGACAGTGGAGGGAGGTCTGTAATGAAGACAAAGATAGATGTGTATGACTTAGATTCCATGCTGCTGCTGAAAGATCGTACCATCAGCCAGTTCTCCAGGGACAATATTGTTCCCTGGTACAGTTGATATATTATACTGTAAATGTAATCACCACAGTGAGTAGAGCTGAACTAAAACTATTCAAAAACCTATCTAAAGAAACATCAAAACCTTTTTATAAATGTAGTGTATCTTGTTTGGGAGGGATAACAGTTCCTTTGAGCTATTTTGAATATTTAAGATCTCTTTAGTCCGTTGGGCCAGGAACCGAGAGGTCGCTGGTTCGAATCCCTAAGCCGACTAGGTTAAAAATCTGTCTGTGCCCTTGAGCAAGGCACTTGACCATAATTGCTCTTGTAAGTCGCTTTGGATAAGAGCATCTGCTAAATGACTAAAATGTAAAAATGGCATGGTTTCTGAATAGTGAAATTAGTATGTGTACAAACATATAGTTTACAGATAAGCATTTGGAAATAGGGTCAGGCTCAATTAACCCTGACGGCTGCTTCATTCTGTCTCCCAGAGGCGGTCCCGGGCCTGTCCATCACAGGTGTACTAGTGATTTTGATGCAGATTGTGAAGATGTAGTCATTAAAGCTCTAATTGGGTTTCCCACAGTGACAGATGTCAAATCCTTCCCAGCCCTCCACAGCGAGTTGTTCCAGCTGGTCCCTTTCTGCTGAGCACATGTATTTTACTCAGACATGCAGGCAGAGAGGCGGAGATGAGCAATTCATTCCTCAAAGATGGGACCAATTAGCTCCTATTTGGGAGGACCACGATTAATGGGACGCTTCAATCCACATCTGTAATGAAATAGCTTTATCTCGATTGACGGGTTGCAAAATGTACATCATTTCCCCTTCTGTTATGCTTTCCAGATCGCTGCTCAGAAGAAGAACCTCAAAAATTACCACTACATATTGGCAAACCTGGTAAGTCTGGCCCTGTCTGAAACGATGGAAGCTTTAATGCAACATGCAAGCTCCATTGTATTTCAATGTAATTTATTTCCAATCTATTTGAAATGTCTTCGTTGTAGATATTGCTGAATCTCCCAGTCTAGAGAACTCTACTGTGAAATTGATAGGAATTTGTGTTCTGATCACGACACTACTGACGCCCCATTGAGAAGTAAAATAATACCTTCATCCCCACTGAAGGAACAAAAACATTTAAGCACAACTGTACTTTCATCTTATACATAATTGATGGAAACCGATTGGTTAGACTAATCAATGGTGGCGTTGTTCCAATGTATTGGTGCCCCTTCATCTTCTCTGTATCTGACACACCGTATTTCTTCTGCTTGTCTGTGCAGAACACAATGTAGACAGATTGCTGATTACCCGCTGAGCAAGTGTATTATAATTTCTACTCCTGCAAGGCATTGAAGGGCTTTTTTATGTGTAGGAAAATGTGTGTGTGTGTGTGTGTGTGTTTGTGTGTGTTTGTGTGTGTGTGTGTGTGTGTGTGTGTGTGTGTGTGTGTGTGTGTGTGTGTGTGTGTGTGTGTGTGTGTGTGTGTGTGTGTGTGTGTGCGCGCATGGGCGTGCTTGTACATGCTTACACTATACTTGTGCATATATATTTGGTATTTGAATGTGTGTGCTTTTTTTCTTTGCATAACTAAACAGAAGTTAGTCTTCCATTATTAATGGACTCAATGCATTGCTTCATGTTTATATTCATTGGCCACCAGACCTCATGAGTTCATAGATCCCAGCAATAGTAGGCAGAGTGGACTCTGTTAGAATGATTCTGCATTTCCTCATATCCAGTTGCACTGAAGCATAGTTGCTTCCATAGAAATAGAATTGCCTCGTAAGTGGTTCTCACGTTAGTTTGCAACGCCAGGGTTGTGGGTTCGATTCCCACGGGGGGCCAGTATGAAAAGAAAAAAACAATTATAATAATAATAATAATAATAATAAAAAAATAATAATGTATGCACTCACTAACTGTAAGTGGCTCTGGATAAGAGCGTCTGCTAAATGACTAAAATGTAAATGTAAATGTAGTATAGCTTCATATAGAGATCTGAGGTCAACTGTCGTCCATGAAGCAACAAGCTAGCCTCTTTCTCTCTAGTGGTATGTCCTGTTTTTTTGTCACAGTACTTCGTCAGGAGAGGACGCTCTATGTTTGGCTTAAGGTTGCGTGTCAAGGAGCATGTTTTTTTTTTAAATGCACTCCAGAGGGCTCAACTCAGAGATCTAGAAACATTTGTGGTAGACCTCATAATTGGACTGTGAAATACAGAAAAAAAGAATCACCCCACAAACTGTGACTTCACCGGCACGATTGTTAAATTAATAATTGGATTGTGCCACAGGAAACATAGTTTAATGATGATCATAAAGGTTGCAAGATGCAACACTGTGGTTCATTACCATTTGAAAAATTTGCCGGAGGGGGGTCACACACACACACACACACACACAGACACACACACACACACACACACTCATACTCCCTCTGTTTATTGATTAAGTATGGTCTACGTAACGAGACGTGATCTTAGTTATCAGCCTGTGAAGACTCCCTAAACTTCCAGCACTCTTCTTGTTATTTATAGCCTAAGAGTGGAATATGTGATCTGTGACTTTTTTTATCATTCAAATAAAGCATTAAAAGTATGTTTGCTGAAGCCTGTTTCAGGGGCTAGCTACAGCGTGACTCCAGCTGGTTTAATGTAGTTAGATGCTCTTACTCTGGAGAGCAGGTAATTAAATGCAAATAAGGCGAGGGGAGCCTCTCCCACTTGGTTATACATTTACATTACATTTTAGTCATTTAGCAGACGCTCTTACCCAGAGCGACTTACAGTTAGTGAGTGCATACATTTTTCATACATTCTCTTCTATCGTAGAGAAACAGTGCCTCCTGTGCACGACTTTCAGTAAAGTACTCTTCTTTTTTATAAAAAAAGGTTTGTTGGCTCATAAAGAATCACAATTATGTAAAATTGTATAAAAAGAAAAAACATATCTCCTTCTTCCTCATATACACTAACCTCCATTCATAGGAGTCCTGGAGTGCAGTTAAACTTGCATTGTACAATCAAGACCCTCAAAAACCATGTTGAAATGTTATGTTATGTTATCCACCATATCCTAAGTCAATCAAAGATAGCACTAGGAACAATTCAATTTGAAGATCCGGAATAAACTCTGACAAGCAGATTTGTAATTACATGTCCTTGTTCCGCTTGTGTAATAACCTAAACCGCTAAACCCTTATTACAGTATAATTACATAGTATTTACATAGTAATTACATGTAACTACTAGGTTATAAACACATGTATTTACGATTTAGTTACATATTCATTAGTGTACACTTAAGGTGAAGTGTTACCGAAGTTCCAATTTGAAGTCGTCAGGCTGTGTGTTTTGATATACTGTACACACATTACTCGATTGCTTGGAGACTGTGGGAGTGATGTACTGTGTTTGACTAGATTGTTTTATTCTGTCTTTGCATGACTATAAGTCATATTTGTAAATCAAAATAGTAAAAGAATGCAGTTGAAAAGACATCTGCTTCTCAAACTGTAGAAAAGTGGTTTTCATCTCCTGCTTCATAGATTTGTAGTGATTGCCTGGACCTGCCCACTGGGCACAGACGTCAGTTCAACGTCTAGTTTCGATTTACATTAAGGTTGAGTTGTCTACTAACGTGAATTCAATGTGAAATCAACAAAAAAATGTCACCATGTCAATGGATTTAGGTTTAAATTTGGCTTAGAATATTTGAAATTCCCTTACGTTGATGACTTTTTTCAAATCCAATCAGTTTTCCATGTTGATTCAACGTCATCACATTGACTTTTTTGTTGTTGAAATGACATGGAAACAACGTTGATTCAACCAGTTTTTGCCCAGTGGGTGGCTTCTCAAGTGGGGTTGAACAGCTGAATAGCAGCTCTGAGAAATCCAAACGTTCAATACCAGCACTCTGAAAAGACACCGTCATCCAATGATCTGCTCCATCGTTACGGCTAGGCCATTTTTGGTTCTGTTTTGTTTACTTAGCTTAAGTTTGCTTCTGTTTGGTAAGAAGTCGATTCCTTCTTTCTCAGGGATTTTTGGACATGAACTTCACTGAGTTCCAGAAGAGTGGTGCCAACATCACTGGGTTCCAACTAATGAACTACTCAGACGGAAACGTGAACAAGGCCATAGAGGAGTGGGTGGACTTTGACAGCAAAGACCTTAAGCTACCCAAGAGAAGACTGAAGGTATGATCAAACTGTCTAAGAGATCTTTCCAGTCAGGTTCTCAAGGTTCCAATAAACATAAAATGTGTAAGCCTCAAATGTTGCCTCCTTGGATTTGCCCTCTTAGTACACAGGAGCACTCACATACGACGGAGTGAGCGTCATGGCAACCGCCTTTCAGAACCTCCGTAAGCAACGTATTGACATCTCCCGGCGAGGCAACGCTGGCGAGTGTCTGGCCAACCCACCAGCTCCCTGGGGCCAGGGTATCGACATCCAGAGAGCCCTACAGCAGGTAGGCAGTTACGCCACTCACTCCACAGCCACAGAGACGAGGATGACTAGGCTTCAAACTCAACGCTAGCAAATTAATCACGAAATACTGTACAATACTGTACAATACAAAACAATACTAGCTTTATTAAGTACTATTGTGTTAAACCCTCAGTTAAATGCAAACGTGTGAGCTATATGTAATCCTTAAATAGTGATCTTGTGACCTGTAGACTTAGATTTCAAATATTATATTGGATATCACGCAATGTCAACACAACCAGCTGGTAATATTGGAATCCTGAAATAGCAATCTTGTGTTCTTGAGATAAGAAAAGGAAAGTTATGCTGTTTTTGCTCTTAGCTATAATATCATCATACAGTATTGTGTAAAAAAAATATATTAGATCAGTGGTCAGCAATAAGTGGCCCTCAGGCCAAAACTGGCCCGCAAGTGATTTTTTGGTGGGCCCATCCAAGTTTTTAGTAAAAAAATAAATATAGGATTTTAGCTTTTGGTCAAAAAGGACTAAATCACCAGGAATTCAGCTAAAAATGAGTTTAATTTAGGAAATCTGTTTCCAAGTATTCCCACCAATAAAAAAAAAAGGAGACGTGATAATGTCATCAAGGAAATCTCTTTTCCCCCGACCATCCGCTCAGACAGAAATCGGCCTGCAGCTGAATCTAGTCACCCCTGTGTTAGGTGTTGATTTCTTTGCGTACTGTAGCTACTTAAAACGACTTGAGCGTTATTCGTTTTTTTTTCTTCTTCAGATTCCAGGTTGCAAAGATACAAGTCTCAGAGAGATAGCAGTTCTTCATACAAATTCTGGTCAAGTTCTGGTTTGTCCCACAGGTTCAAATTGAGGGATTGACTGGACATGTCCAGTTTAACGAGAAAGGCCATCGGACCAACTACACGGTCAGCGTCATGGAGCTGAGCCCGAGTGGACCGCTGAAGGTGAACTGGGGACTTGTCCATAACCTCTATAATTATCAATCAACATCTTGATCCTCCTCAGGGGAAATCTGTTGTTAGATAGGTTAGATAGATGTATGACACTTGACCTTACCACAGTAGACAAAGTAGGAGCAATCCATCAGAGAAAATCAAATAAAATCAAACTTTATTTGTCACATGCGCCGAATACAACAGTGAAATGCTTACTTACAAGCCCTTAACCAACAATACAGTTCAAGAAAGAGTTAAGAAAATATTTAACAAATAAACTAAAGTAAAAAATATATATAAAAAAGTAACACAATAAAATAACAATAACGAGGCTATATAAAGGGGGTAGATGCCGAGCAGTTGCAATACCAGGCGGTGATGCAACCGGTCAGGATGCCCTCAATGGACTCATCATCTCAACTGTAATTTTCTGCACACATTGTTTTAATCTTAACTACAAATCCTTTGTTAAGATAGTTTGTTAAACAAAACTTGACTGGTCATTCACTAGAATTGTGCCCAGCAACAAGAGCTGCTGGAGCCAAGCAAAAAAGAACAGTGAAATTAGCGGTCTTCTTCTTAGATTGGCTTTGCAAAAATGAATGTCCAATGTTCACATCATGCCAGTATGTGACATATTTGTTTTCATAGCGCAGTTGTAGGATTTTCATATTATTTATTAATATGCAAAGAATTTGTTTGTCAATCAGAAAACGAATTACCCTTCGAGTTTAGAATATACCCATTTACAGTTGAAGTCGGAAGTTTACATACACTTAGGTTGGAGTCAATAAAACTCGTTTTTCAACCACTCCACACATTTCTTGTTAACAAACTATAGTTTTGGCAGTTGTCAGTTAGGACATCTACTTTGTGCATGACACAAGTAATTTTTCCAACAATTGTTTACAGACAGATTATAATTCACCGTATCACAATTCCAGTGGGTCAGAAGTTTACATACACTAAGTTGACTGTGCCTTTAAACAGCTTGGAAAATTCCAGAAAATGATGTCATGGCTTTAGAAGCTTCTGATAGGCTAATTGAAATAATTTGAGTCAATTGGAGGTGTATCTGTGGATGTATTTCAAGGCCTACCTTCAAACTCAGTGCCTCTTTGCTTGACATCATGGGAAAACCAAAAGAAATCAGCCAAGACCTCAGAAAAATAATTGTAGACCTCCACAAGTCTGGTGCATCCTTGGGAACAATTTCCAAATGCCTGAAGGTACCACGTTCATCTGTGCAAACAATAATACGCAAGTATAAACACCATGGGACCACGCAGCCATCATACTGCTCAGAAAGGAGACGCGTTCTGTCTCATAGAGATGAACATACTTTGGTGCGAAAAGTGCAAATCAATCCCAGAACAACAACAAAGGACCTTGTGAAGATGCTGGAGGAAACAGGTACAAAAGTATCTATATCCACAGTAAAATGAATCCTATATCGACATAACCTGAAAGGCCGCTCAGCAAGGAAGAAGTCACTGCTCCAAAACCACCATAAAAAAGCCAGACTACGGTTTGCAACTGCACATGGGGACAAAGATCGTACTTTTTGGAGAAAATATGTTTCTGATGAAACAAATATAGAACTGTTTGGCCATAATGACCATCGTTATGTTTGGAGGAAAAAGGGAGTAACTTGCAAGCCAAAGAACACCATCCCAACCGTGAAGCATGCTGTGGGGGTGCTTTGCTGCAGGAGGGACTGGTGCACTTCACAAAATAGATGGCAGCATGAGGAAGGACAATTATGTGGATATATTGAAGAAACATCTCAAGACATCAGTCAGGAAGTTAAAGCTTGGTCGCAAATGGTTCTTCCAAATGGGTCTTCCAAAACCTCAATCTTATAGAACATTTGTGGGCAGAACTGAAAAGGCTTGTGCGAGCAAGGAGGCCTACAAACCTGACTCAGTTACACCAGCTGTGTCAGGAGGAATGGGCCAAAATTCACCCAACTTATTGTGGGAAGCTTGTGGAAGGCTACCTGAAACATTTCACCCAAATTAAACAATTGAAAGGCAATGCTACCAAATACTAATTGAGTGTATGTAAACTTCTGACCCAATAGGAATGTGATGAAAGAAATAAAAGCTGAAATAAATCATTCTCTCTACTATTATTCTGACATTTCACATTCTTAAAATAAAGTGGGGATCCTAACTGACCTAAAACAGGAACTTTTTACTAAGATTAAATGTCAGGAATTGTGAAAAACAGAGTTTAAATGTATTTGGCTAAGGTGTATGTAAACCTCCGACTTCAACTGTATATTTCATACGAGAAAATGCACAGCACATCAGTGTAAATACATGAATGCAACCAGCGGCTCATTGGCTATAGTACTCAGTGATCTTGCATACTGTATGTGGAGCAAATTCCTCATATAATTTGGTATGCAGGGTATTTGTACATAAAGATGACTCTCTTTTAATGTTATCACCGACAGTCTTACAACCTGAGAGTAGTGCAGGCTGGACCTGACGTACGGTAGGAGGTGTTGGTTATCTCTGAGTATGGCGTAAGGACTTGCTAGGGGATTAGCCGTACGAGGTAAGGGATGTTCTTATTCAAACAGAGAGGTGGAATGGGTTCACAATCAAAGATATGTCACAGAGTTTACTTCATTATTCAATTGTTGTAAATGTTTTTACTGCATCAGGGGTAGCGTACGCTGACTTTTCGGCTTTTATAGCTTTCTTCAGTCTGTTGTTGCAATTTACTTTGAATTCAAAACAGCATTTGTAAAGAACAACAGATGAGCAGCAGGTGCTTCTAATCAGGGTTGCCACTCATCTGCCAATCAGGGATGTGGCTTTTCTGGTCTTCCTGTATACAAATGAGTCACAAAAAATATACAGAATTATAGGGTACGGGAGTGGGCACCAAGGGCGACTCACAAATCAATCGCCCCCCAGGTGTCCGTTCACCTAAATACATCGGATCAATTCACGAGATAGCCCCACCACAAAGGACATCAGGCAAAGCCGTTCATAAATATTTTGGGGGCCTCATAAACGATATGCAAAATCTGATATGGACAGTGTCCTTATGCCCGCGCTACGTGTGTATGAGGCTAATTGTGCTTCATAAGCCGGTGATATTAATATTTATTACACTATATGAATAGAAGTGTAGGATTTCCTCCGCGATGTGTGTTGATATACTGTACCCCTTTCTGACTGCAGGTGGGCTACTGGAATGAGTATGAGAACTATGTGAACACAGCGGTATACACGCCGGTGGTTGAAGAGTTCTTCGGACTGCAAAACAGGACCTACATAGTGACCAGTATCCTTGTGAGTCTCACTAGAATGAATGAATGAATGAATGAATGAATGAATGAATGAAGGAATGAATGAAGGAATGAAGGAATGAAGGAATGAAGGAATGAAGGAATGAATGACATTTTATTTTCGTGTCAAATCACCAGTTGGCAACCCCATCCCTTATGGGATTAACTGACACATAAACAAACATTACAATAATTCACTGTGATAATTCAGTGATGATTCTTCTTCTAGCTTAACTGATAGGCTCAATGTTTGGATGCTGATAATGGGTTTCACGGACTGTGTGAGGCTGTGTTTGATATGGCTATATTGGAAAATAGGGATTTTTAGATTGGATTCACACGGGGATAGAAATTAGTGGCAACTGTCCCAGATCAATTGGAGAGTGAATTTATTTTAACTTTTCATATCCAAATGGCAGGTTTTCTATTTCGTACAGCACATTCATCCATCTAAGCAATCCCTGTTAAAATGGGCTATCATTACCAGTTGATCAAGTCATAATACATGAGAGGGAGATAGGGAGAGAGGGAGGGAGAGAGAGAGAGAGAGGGAGGGAGGAGGGAGGGAGGGACGTGAGGGGAGAGAGGGAGAGAGGGAGGGAGCGAGAGATAGAGAGATAGAGAGAAGTGAGGGAGGGAGGTGGGGTTGGGCGTGGTGTCGTTAGGGCTTATGGGGAGAAGCAGATAGCGATCTCGTCTCTCTATCCTCTCTCTCTAAGATGATCCTCTAGATATAGAGATCTCTCTCCTTTTCTCTTCCTCTCTCCTTTCCTCTTTGCTTGTATTCCTGTCTTTTCGAGTGCCTGTGCGTGTCTCAAAATGCTTCTGGCTAAATCTGAAATACTGTCCTTGTGAAACTATCTCTGCCCCACTATTCCCAGATTGTACTCTATGTTGTGTTCACCTGTGGACTAGCCACGAGGGCTGTTTTCACAGAAGCTCTGTTCTGCTTTACCTGGAGGGCAGACTCAGAGCTCCACACAGCCCCTTTACAGTCATCCTGGCCTGGCCAGCCAGAAATAGCAGGAGTGCTGCTTGCCCATCAGATCTGAGTCACCCCACACTGAGGAGAAGGTGTGAGATTGTGTCCAGACCCCCGGGGCTGACCACTTCCTCTCTATGAATAATGTCATTTGAAGGCCCCTTCGTATACACAAAGCAATTGACAGAAATTGGTGTGAAGCCCCATGGTTGTAAACAAGTTCATATATTATACCGTACCATGTACAACTTTTTCCCCCAGGGCCCTCTTTTTCACATTTGACAAATGTCACAAATGCTTTCCCCAAATGTTATTCTGCTACCAAATATGTTTTATTATGGTAATGAACCCTCAATTAAATTATATTATTCTCTTTTACAGAAAGTGATCTGATCAATTAATAGCGACAGAGTCAAACATTGTATAAGATTACTTATCAAGCAAAGTCAGATGTCTTTGACTCCTCAGCATTAGAAAGTTATTCCCATATGCAACCGCGGCACTTCTTCCTCTGGCATTTGACCACTTGTTTCTAGCCTAAAGCATTGCAGATATATGCGTCGTTTTAGATTGGTATTTGTATTTATTATGGATCCCCCCATTAGCTACTCTTCCTGGGGTCCAGCAAAATGAAGGCAGTTATACATTTGAAAAACATTACAATACATTCATAACAGATTTCACAACATATTAAGTGTGTGCCCTCAGGCCTCTACTACCACATATCTATAACACAAAATCCAAGCATACGTGTGTATAGTGCATATGTTATCGTGTGTTTGTATGCAGGTGTCTATGTTTGTGTTGATTCACAGTCCCCGCTGTTCCATAAGATGTATTTTTGTCTGTGTTTTAAATCTAATTTTACTGCTGGCATGAGTTACTTAATGTGGAATAGAGTTCCATGTAGTCATGGCTCTATGTAGTACTGTACACCTCCCATAGTCTGTTCTGGACTTGGGGACTGTGAAGAGTCCTCTGGTGGCATGTCTTGTGGGGTATGCATCCGAGCTGTGTGCCAGTAGTTCAAACAGACAGCTCGTGCTCCTCTTTATGGCACCTGACCACACGACAGAACAATAGTCCAGGTGCGACAAAACTAGGGCCTGTAGGACCTACATTGTTGATAGTGTTGTTAAAAAGGCAGAGCAGCGCTTTATTATAGACAGACTTCTCCCCATCTTAGCTGCTGTTGTATCAATATGTTTTGACCATGACAGTTTACAATCCAGGGTTCCTCCAAGCAATTTAGTCTCCTCAACTTGCTCAATTTCCACATTATTCATTACAAGATTTAGTTAAGGTTTAGGGTTTAGTGAATGATTTGTCCCAAATACAATGCTTTTAGTTTTTGAAATATTTAGGACTAACTTATTCCTTGCCACCCATTCTGAAAATAGCTGCAGCTCTTTGTTAAGTGTTGCTGTCATTTCAGTCGCTGTGGTAGCTGACGTGTATAGTGTTGAGTCGTCCGCATACATAGACACACTTCAAAGCCAGTGGCATATCGTTAGTAAAGATTGACAAAAGTAAAGGGCCTAGACAGCTGCCCTGGGGAATTCCTGATTCTACCTGGATTTTGTTGGAGAGGCTTCCATTAAAGAACACCCTCTGTGTTCTGTTAGACAGGTAACTCTTTATCCACAATATAGCAGCGGGTGTAAAGCCATAACACATACGTTTTTCCAGCAACAGACTATGATCGATAATGTCGAAAGCCACACTGAAGTCTAACAAAACAGCCCCTACAATCTTTTTATCATCAATATCTCTCAGCCAATCATCGGTCATTTGTGTAAGTGCTGTGCTTGTTGAATGTCCTTCCCTATAAGAGTGCTGAAAGTCTGTTGTCAATTTGTTTACTGTAAAATAGCATTTTATCTGGTCAAACACCATTTTTTCCAAAGGTTTACTAAGGGTTGGTAACAGGCTGATTGTTCGACTATTTGAGCCAGTTAAGGGGGCTTTACTGTTCTTAGGTAGGGGAATAACTTTTGCTTCCCTCCAGGCCTGAGGGCACACACTTTCTAGTAGGTTTAAATTGAAGATGTGTCAAATAGGAGTGGCAATATCGTCCGTTGTTATCCTCAGTAATTTTCCATCCAAGTTGTTAGAAGCCGGTGGCTTCCCATTATTGATCGACAATAATACTTTTTTCACCTCTTCCACACTTACTTTACGGAATTCAAAATTACAATGCCTGTCTTTCATAATTTGGTCAGATATACTTGGATGTGTAGTGTCAGTGTTTGTTGCTGGCATGTCATGCCTAAGTTTGCTAATCTTGCCAATAAAGAAAAATCATTAAAGTAGTTGGCAATATCAGTGGGTTTTGTGATGAATGAGCCATCTGATTCAATTAATGAATCAACATTTCATTTAAGGTGCTCCAAAGCTTTTTATTATAATTCTTTATGTAATTTATCTTTGTTTCATAGTGTAGTTTCTTATTTCTTTTTATTCAGTTTAGTCACATGATTTCTCATTTTGCAGTACGTTAGCCAATCGGTTGTACTGCCAGAGTTATTTGCCATCTCTTTTGCCTCATCCCTCTCAACCATACCATTTTTCAATTGCTCATCAATCCACGGTGATTAAACAGTTTGTACAGTCATTTTCTTAATGGGTGCATGCTTAATAGTAACTGGGATCAGCAATTTCATAAATGTGTCAAGTGCAGCGTCTGGTTTGCTCGTCATTACACACCACAGATGTCACGCCCTGGCTCTGGGGACTCTTATATGTTGAGCCAGGGTGTTAGTATCTATGTTTAGTGTTCTATGTTCAGGTTCTAGATCATGTGTTTCTATGTTGGCCGGGGTGGTTCCCAATCAGAGGCAGCTGTGGCTTGTTGTCTCTGATTGGGAACCATACTTAGGCAGCCTGTTTTGCACTTGTCATTTGTGGGATCTTGTTCCGGAGAGGTTTCTGTTTTGTTAACCTTAGGACTTCACGTATTGTTTTGTTATATTTGTAAGTACTCATTAAAAGATGTACGCATATCACGCTGCGCCTTGGTCCACTTCATGTAACATTCGTGACAACAGACCAACAAATATTCTTCACATCAACAACATAGGAATCACTACAAAACGTATTATTGTATTAGGCCCAGCCTTTGGAACTAGATATGGCTACTATATTGTGATCACTACATCTGATGGATTTGGATACTGCTTTCAAACAAATTTCTGCAGCATTAGTAAAGATATGATCAATACATGTTGATGATTTAATTCCTGTACTGTTTGTAACTACTCTGGTAGGTTGATTGATAACCTGAACCAGGTTGCAGGCACTAGTTACAGTTTGAAGCTTTCTCTTGAGTGGGCAGCCTGAAGAAAGCCAGTCAATATTTAAATCACCCAGAAAGTATACCTCTCTATTGATATCACATATATTATCAAGCATTTCACACAATCGCGAATTGTCAAAAAAAATAATTAAAAAAAATACGGTATATACTTTTTTTTACCCCTCAAATCAAGGAAAGTCCCTGGGAACCCCTGGAGTAAATTATCCCAGAGAAAGGTGGACAAGGAAAGCTTTATAAATGCCCCTTTTAAAAATGAATGAAAAATGAATGGTGAATGCGTGCAGAGTGAAGGAAACCAAGAAAACCAAACATCAATGTTGTCCTTCATGTTTCCCAGGAATCTCCATATGTGATGCTGAAGAAGAATCATGAGCAGCTGGTGGGGAACGATAAGTATGAGGGCTATTGTGTGGAGCTGGCCGCCGAGATCGCCAAGCATGTGGGCTATACTTATAAACTGGAGATTGTAGGGGATGGCAAGTACGGAGCCAGAGACGCTGAGTCCAAGATGTGGAACGGGATGGTGGGCGAGCTGGTTTATGGGGTTAGTAACCATCTCATGAACACACTAGGCTCTGAGAGAGGAGAAATGTGTTAATTGTACACTCTCAGTCAACACAGCAGTCCATGGAATTCATCCAATAGCAAGGACTCATTTTTAATGCAACCACTCTTTCGGTTTATATAGTAGCAGTAACCAAAATGGTGCACATGTGGTACAATATCTGCCTTTTATACAACGGGTGGGTCTAATCCTGAATGCTGATTGGTTAAAACCGCATTCCAGCCGGTGTCTATTCCACAAGTTACTACCGGCTAAATCTATGACGGTAAAATGCCTATTTACTCTGTTCCATCTGACTGTCTCATCAGCCCAGCCAGGCAATTTATAAACTTGATCTTCACTGTAAAAAGCATCTAGACATTACATTTACATTTTAGTCATTTAGCAGACGCTCTTATCCAGAGCGACTTACAGTTAGTGAGTGCATACATATACAAAAGGGGAGAACAATTATTTGATACACTGCCGATTTTGCAGGTTTTCCTACTTACAAAGCATGTAGAGGTCTGTAATTTTTTATCATAGGTACACTTCAACTGTGAGAGACGGAATCTAAAACAAAAATCCAGAAAATCACATTGTATGATTTTTAAGAAATAATTTGCATTTTATTGCATGACATAAATATTTGATACATCAGAAAAGCAGAACTTAATATTTGGTACAGAAACCTTTGTTTGCAATTACAGAGATCATACGTTTCCTGTAGGTCTTGACCAGGTTTGCACACACTGCAGCAGGGATTTTGGCCCACTCCTCCATACAGACCTTCTCCAGATCCTTCAGGTTTCGGGGCTGTTGCTGGGCAATACAGACTTTCAGCTCCCTCCAAAGATTTTCTATTGGGTTCAGGTCTGGAGACTGGCTAGGCCACTCCAGGACCTTGAGATGCTTCTTACGGAGCCACTCCTTAGTTGCCCTGGCTGTGTGTTTTGGGTCGTTGTCATGCTGGAAGACCCAGCCACGACCCATCTTCAATGCTCTTGCGATACATGGCCCCATCCATCCTCCCCTCAATACGGTGCAGTCGTCCTGTCCAGCATCCCCAAAGAATGATGTTTCCACCTCCATGCTTCACAGTTGGGATGGTGTTCTTGGGGTTGTACTCATCCTTCTTCTTCCTCCAAACACGGTGAGTGGAGTTTAGACCAAAAAGCTATATTTTTGTCTCATCAGACCACATGACCTTCTCCCATTCCTCCTCTGGATCATCCAGATGGTCATTGGCAAACTTCAGACGGGCCTGGACATGCGCTGGCTTGAGCAGGGGGACCTTACGTGCGCTGCAGGATTTTAATCCATGACGGCGTAGTGTGTTACTAATGGTTTTCTTTGAGACTGTGGTCCCAGCTGCCGTGTAGTTCTGGGCTGATCCCTCACCTTCCTCATGATCATTGATGCCCCACGAGGTGAGATCTTGCATGGAGCCCCAGACCGAGGGTGATTGACCGTCATCTTGAACTTCTTCCATTTTCTAATAATTGCACCAACAGTTGTTGCCTTCTCACCAAGCTGCTTGCCTATTGTCCTGTAGCCCATCCCAGCCTTGTGCAGGTCTACAATTTTATCCCTGATGTCCTTACACAGCTCTCTGGTCTTGGCCATTGTGGAGAGGTTGGAGTCTGTTTGATTGAGTGTGTGGACAGGTGTCTTTTATACAGGTAACGAGTTCAAACAGGTGCAGTTAATACAGGTAATGAGTGGAGAACAGGAGGGCTTCTTAAAGAAAAATTAACAGGTCTGTGAGAGCAGGAATTCTTACTGGTTGGTAGGTGATCAAATACTTATGTCATGCAATAAAATGCAAATTAATTACTTATAAATCATACAATGTGATCTCACAGTTGAAGTGTACCTATGATAAAAATGACAGACCTCTACATGCTTTGTAAGTAGGAAAACCTGCAAAATCAGCAGTGTATCAAATACTTGTTCTCCCCCATGGGTCTCCCGGTCGCGGCCGGCTACGACAGAGCCTGGATTCAAACCAGGATCTCTAGTGGCACAGCTAGCACTGCGATGCAGCACCTTTGACAACTGCGTCACTCGGGAGACATAATCTCACATTTCTTTTAGACTAAAATGTAGTTTTCCAGTACACACCGGTGTACCATCCTTTATCTCAACCTTCACTAAAGCCTTTCCCCAGTCAATATTAAAGATTCAATATTCAAACAGACACGACATTAAGCCTAATCCTAACCTAACAAATCTCTTCAAAATACGTGTGCAATGATTTTGTTAGTGGATGTTTGTCACATTCTAAATACATCAAACAAATTCAATGTGGCCTTTAGTATAAATACTGTTCCGTTGTGTTATTTTATAAGTCTGGTACACTACATTGTACATTCCTTTGCTACCGTAGCCAAAAGACATACTGCAGCGCAGTTTATTTATTTCCAATATTATGTAGGTTTGACATAAATTCTTTGTGATAAGAATAACATTGTGTTGTAGAAGTATTTCACAGCTTGGCTTCAGAAAGGACACAGCGCGTCCCTACAAGTTGTAAGATATATTCGGACAAAGGTCTAAACCTCTCACTTTACATGTCCAGCCAGATTTCTCAATGTCAAAACATATAACCACACAATGCAGATGGGCCTTGATAGGCTGGCAGTGTTGAAGTGATAGCGTAACAAATAGTCAAAATCTGTTGTCTGGTAACCAAAGAATTGGGCAACAGGCAACAGATTGACAACAGTACAGTATCTGGATTTGTATTCCAGGAAGGCTGTTATTGAAACGTCCCTTACAGAACTGTCACTTCTCATATCTTCCGTTGTTCATGTGAATCATGTCAAACCCTATTTCTCTGCCCTCAGGAACTTGAGATGAAAGATACGCTCACAGTTTGGTCTAGGGTACAGTAGAATGTATGTTCTGTCCTCACAATGACAGAGGTGCTGGGTGGCCTCAACCAAATCAAGTCTCGCTTGGAGGGTTTCATTTTTTTCTCTCAGTGTTGTAAGCCTAACATTTCTTGAAAGCGATCCATTATTATTCAGCTTGAAAAGGCTCAGTGTTTATGTAAGCCAGAGCTCTCTAGAGAGAGTGATTTTAGAAAGTTGCCTTATGGGAACAGAGTTTACTATTACTGAGGCGTAATGCTAATCCTTGTTATTTACATTCCTTCACATCACCTTAAAGGGGCGATCTGCAGTTGCTACATCCATTTTTAGACTTATGGACCCATTGATTCTTGAATAAAATGGCTTATTAATGCCTCATGAGCTTAGTTCAACTGTCGTACCCCATCAGAACCCAAAATATTAGCTTGATTTACTCCATTGTTTGTAAACAAAGTAAATGTAAACCAACAGCCTCAAAACATGGTTAAAACTATCATGTTGATATCATGGATGGTCAGTCCTCGCATCCATAGCTCTGTCTATGAATTTGAGAGTGGTAACATTTCTTCAGCCACATCCCTCAGCTTTTTACCAAAACGGGCTGGGAAAACGCTTTGTTATTGTTTCAACTGCTGATTGCCCCTTTAAGGAAATGCTTTTGTCATATCCACTTGAAGTCTTTATGGATGGAAGGACGAATACAGAGATGGATTTCTGAGTGTAGGGATACTGTTGGAAGGACGAATACAGAGATGGATTTCTGAGTGTAGGGATACTGTTGGAAGGACGAATACAGAGATGGATTTCTGAGTGTAGGGATAATGTTGGTGAATGATACATTGAGGGAGAGCTACATAGATGAACACGTAATTCTCTCCTTGACTCCTAGAAAGCAGACGTGGCAGTAGCCCCGTTGACCATCACCCTGGTGAGAGAGGAGGTGATCGACTTCTCCAAGCCCTTCATGTCCCTGGGCATCTCCATCATGATCAAGAAGCCCACCAAGTCCAAACCTGGGGTCTTCTCCTTCCTCGACCCGCTGGCCTACGAGATCTGGATGTGCATCGTGTTTGCCTACATCGGTGTGAGCGTGGTTCTGTTCCTGGTCAGCCGCTTCAGCCCGTACGAGTGGCAGGGGGACGATTCAGAGGGGGAGGAGGGTCAAGAGCAGCAGCAGAGACAGCAGCACAACCAGCAGTCGTCCTCCAGTCCCAGGAGAGAGCCAGGACAGTCCCAGTCCCAACCGGGCCAAAACCAGGGCCAAGGACAGGGCCAGGGCCAGAGCCAGAGTGAGGGGCACACCAATGAGTTTGGGATATTCAACAGCCTGTGGTTCTCGCTGGGCGCCTTCATGCAGCAGGGCTGTGATATCTCGCCAAGGTAGGCAAACCTTTTTTTTAACCCCACTGTTACCTGTAGTGTTTCCATTAACAACATCCTTCCTCACTATAATAGTTACCCCACAGTGAAGACAGGGAAGATTAGTCATCAGCAGACAGGATATAGAGGCATTCTGCAGAACAGAACAGAAAAGATCAGATCGGATCGGATCAGAACAGAACAAGATCAGATCGGATCGGATCAGAACAGAACAAGAGCAGAGTGACAGACTGACTGACAGTATGACTGGACAGGGCCTTCAGGAGCCTGTGTTCATATCACAACCCAAGGCAGCAGTCATGGGGTCCAGGCCAGACCCTGGTCAGGGGTTCCCTAGCCCAAGCCAAGCCCCAGGCCCAGTGCACTGGGTCCAGTCCAGGCTGCTGTTGGAGGTGCGTGTTGTTGTGCTCTCATCAGGACAGACATGGATATAATTATTATATCAGCAGACGCTACTCAGAGAGGAGAGACAAAGGTTTCCCTAAGATAGGGGTAGTTTTATTGGCACACAAAATAGGGTGTATTTTTCATGTTGATTCTTGGTGAGTAGACATGTCAAATTCAAAAGAAGAATTGGAGAAATTAGATTAAATTACGTTTTTTTACAGGATTCCTTCCTTCCAGTGAGTTAATGTTAAAAGAACCCTTTCGGATAACTTTACATTGTGCCTCCTGTATCTCGTAGAAAGGAAATGGCAGACACATTGGATTGCAACTGCTTTGGTCATATCTACTGCAGATCTATGTGGCTCCTTATGCACTGTTCCCTTGCCACAGGGCAGGAGTACCATTCTCATTATCACAATTCCCTGCCTTGCATCTTTGTTTCCAGCTAACCATACTGTACGGTGTCCTGCGCCCCTCCCTGCCTGCCTGCCTAGCTTGACTCACGCCTGGCCTCTGTTGTTCTTTAATGTTCCACTGTCCCCTCGGCTTAGTTAACACTTGCATGTGTATATTATCAATTTATTCCTTCATAAAGTCATGTGGCGATTCATTACCAGATCATTAGTGCAGGTCAATCTGGTGACATTCCTGCTGACGGCCCACTGCCTTCTCCTCCTCCTCCTCCTCCTCCTCCTCCTCCTCCTCCTCCTCCTCCTCCTCCTCATTATAAAGAAAGGCCCCTGGGCGCTTGGCTTGTTCTAACTGCTGGCTCCTCAGCCACTGCCTGACGTTTAGGCGGACATGTGTATCCTTCTGCATTGAGGGAACTAATGAGCTCAAATTCCATTACATTTGCAGAAAGCTGCGTAATGGCCTCAAATTAGATTACATTTGCAGAAAGCTGCCTGTGACAGATGTTGTTTTCTCTGTCATAGATGCATCCAATTTAACCCAGCCAGAATGGTGAAGCATCAGGAGAAGAACTCTTTAGCGCTGTCTGTTCCAAGGACATCCCAAGCAGTCTGTCTTAGTTTGTGCTGTAGAAGCGGATTTTCCTCTCCCATTTCTCTGTCCCCCTATACTGGCCAATGAGGCACAGATGTGAACTGCAGATAGTTGATTCCTCTAAATGAAATCATTACAAAGGCTTTGATTTTCTATCTTGTCTTCTCTTCTCTGCTGTTTTCTGTTTTAACACTTCAGTTTCCCCTCTCCTCAGTTGACTTGGGAGCAGTCTCTCTCTCTCTCTCTCTCTCTCTCTCTCTCTCTCTCTCTCACTCTCTCTCCTCCTCACTCTCTCTCTCTCACTCTCCTCTCTCTCTCTCTCTCTCTCTCCTCTCTCTCTCTCTCTCTCTCTCTCTCTCTCTCTCTCTCTCTCTCTCTCTCTCTCTCTCTCTCTCTTCTTTCTTTCTCTCTCTCTTTCGCTCTCTCTCTCCTGTGTGAATCATTTGGGTTTCATGGTCTAAGCCTCTGGGTGGGCTGGTGATTTTGACTTCGTCTCTCAAGCTGTCAGAGGAGGGAAGACCTGACAAATAGTGGTGATTCACCTCCATGCTACCTCAGGGGGTCAGACAGTGATGGAGAAACTCAGTGGGATAAGGCCAGAGGGCAGATGAGTTACATTCATGTCTCAAACACATAGTGACTCTCTTAATCCGTCATGCATCACACTAGGTAATACTTATAGCCTACACAGGATGGGTTTTATAATAACACCTCTCCAATTATTTAGAGGAGTCTTGCCCTCTGCTCTTTTCTCCAACTGAAAGGATTTTATTTTGCGAGAATCTACACTCAGCGGTCAGTTTATTAGGTACACCCATCTAGCTGCGGGTCGGACCCTCCTTTTGCCTCCAGAACAGTGTGAATTATTTGGGGCGTGTAAACTTTGCTCAGTTGGCATCAAGGGGACCTAACGTGTGCCATGAAAACATTCCCCACACCATTACACCACCGCCACCAGTCTGTACCATTGAGATACTGGAACCGGCGCACCTGGCACCGACAATCATACCACCCCAAAAGTCGATTAGGCCAATCGTATTGCCCATTCTAACGTTCAATCAAACAGCAACTGAATGCCTCGATGCCTGTCTGCCTGCTTTATATAGCAAGCCACTGCCACGTAACTCACTGTCTGTAGCAGCGAACCATTTTGGTGAACGGGGTGGTGTACCTAATAAACTGGTCACTGAGTGTATAGTCATGTACCTTCTTCAGTATTGCGAAAGCGTGTGCCGTGAGGGTACTGTATCTCTGAGGGAGTCTAATTTGGAGCAGAGAGGTGGGGGGACTATGAAAGGTCACCTGAAGGTCAATATGAATAGAAAGGTCAACTTGCTTCCCACACTGGGGTGTTCAGTGAGCAGACCTGCAGTAAAACAGCTCAAATGTCATATATAGACAGCAGCTCTGAGGGAAGAACAGTTTAAAGACTGGCCGGGCCAGCTGAGTTTGGCAGGATGCTATTTGTCAGAGAATGCAGTAACTAGGAGGCCTGCCATGTTGACGATAATCTCCAAACAACCAGATCGAAACATAACTTTGAAGAACAAGGGCTTTACAAGAGCAATGGGAGATGGAAGGAGCAGCTTTGTGGGAAGACACCAGCTATTTATTAATGATAACATGTCTGATCTCTGTAAATGTCACCACGGCCACTCAGAGAGGGCTCTTCACATAGCAAGCCGCTAGAAGTTTAACTTCTGAGGTAAATGTCTGTGTGTGCCATTTTAAATGCACACTGATTACAGATTATCTGTAATTATCTTATAGTTATTAGACATGATTAGCCTCACATACATGAGGTTTGTTAGCAACGTCCTTCTAACTGCACGCAGAGACATAAAAATGGTGTCCACGAGTTCATCTGACTCTGAGGAAGTAGATAAAGTGCCTCATTGCCAAAATCCCAAAGTATCCCTTTAATCTTTTTGTTCTCCCATGTGCAAAGCCGATGGAATTCCCTCCCATTCACAGAGATAATCTAATATTAAATAGTGTTTTACTAATAGCTGGCGTGATCAAGGCAGTGAGAAAGTGTCAGTACCTCCCTCCATACCTCCCTCCATGCCTCCCTCCATACCTCCCTCCATACCTCCCTCCATGCCTCCCTCCATGCCTCCCTCCATACCTCCCTCCATGCCTCCCTCCAGACCTCCCTCCATACCTCCCTCCATACCTCCCTCCATACCTCCCTCCATGCTTCCCTCCATACCTCCCTCCATACCTCCCTCCATGCCTCCCTCCATACCTCCCTCGATGCCTCCCTCCATACCTCCCTCCATGCCTCCCTCCATGCCTCCCTCCATACCTCCCTCCATGCCTCCCTCCATACCTCCCTCCATACCTCCCTCCATGCTTCCCTCCATACCTCCCTCCATACCTCCCTCCATACCTCCCTCCATGCTTCCCTCCATACCTCTCTCCATACCTCCCTCCATGCTTCCCTCCATACCTCCCTCCATACCTCCCTCCATGCTTCCCTCCATACCTCCCTCCCTGCTTCCCTCCATACCTCCCTCCATACCTCCCTCCATGCTTCCCTCCATACCTCCCTCCATACCTCCCTCCATGCCTCCCTCCATGCCTCCCTCCATACCTCCCTCCAGACCTCCCTCCATACCTCCCTCCAGACCTCCCTCCATACCTCCCTCCATACCTCCCTCCATACCTCCCTCCATGCCTCCCTCCATACCTCCCTCCATGCCTACCTCCATACCTCCCTTCATGCCTCCCTCCATACCTCCCTCCATACCTCCCTCCATGCTTCCCTCCATACCTCCCTCCATGCCTCCCTCCATGCCTCCCTCCATACCTCCCTCCAGACCTCCCTCCATACCTCCCTCCATACCTCCCTCCATGCCTCCCTCCATACCTCCCTCCATGCCTCCCTCCATACCTCCCTCCATACCTCCCTCCATGCTTCCCTCCATACCTCCCTCCATGCCTCCCTCCATGCCTCCCTCCATGCCTCCCTCCATACCTCCCTCCAGACCTCCCTCCATGCTTCCCTCCATACCTCCCTTCATGCCTCCCTCCATGCCTCCCTCCATACCTCCCTCCATGCCTCCCTCCATACCTCCCTCCATGCTTCCCTCCATACCTCTCTCCATACCTCCCTCCATGCTTCCCTCCATACCTCCCTCCATACTTCCCTCCATACCTCCCTCCATACCTCCCTCCATGCTTCCCTCCATACCTCCCTCCATGCTTCCCTCCATACCTCCCTCCATACCTCCCTCCATACCTCCCTCCATGCTTCCCTCCATACCTCCCTCCATACCTCCCTCCATACCTCCCTCCATGCTTCCCTCCATACCTCTCTCCATACCTCCCTCCATGCTTCCCTCCATACCTCCCTCCATACTTCCCTCCATACCTCCCTCCATACCTCCCTCCATGCTTCCCTCCATACCTCCCTCCATGCTTCCCTCCATACCTCCCTCCATACCTCCCTCCATGCTTCCCTCCATACCTCCCTCCATACCTCCCTCCATACCTCCCTCCATGCTTCCCTCCATACCTCCCTGGTACTACTAGAGTCTGCTCAGGGAAGATAGCCCTCCTGTCTGCTTGGATGTGTGTTTGCTGTTGCGTTTTGCCTGAGGGGATCTCACTCTCAGCCTCATACGCTCCACTTTCACCGCTGGAGGAATGAGTGCTGCACCTCTAACGTTATTGTAACGTTTCACAGCTCATTAAAGTAATTTACTGGACACAATATCTCATACTTACGCATGCCATACAGAGGTTTCTGTAGGTAGACGAGTTATGAAAGGGTTAAGATTAGTTTTAAATATATAATCTCTTGACACTAGCCAGGGTGATACACTACCTGACCAAAAGTATGTGGACACTTGCTCGTCGAACATCTCATTCCAAAATCATGGGCATTAATATGGAGTTGGTTCCCCCTTTGCTGCTATAACAGCCTCCACTCTTCTGGGAAGGCTTTCCACTAGACGTTGGAACATTGCTGCGGGGACTTGCTTCCATTCAGCCACAAGAGCATTAGTGAGGTCGGGCACTGATGTTGGGCGATTAGGCCTGGCTCGCAGTCGGCGTTCCAATTCATCCCAAAGGTGGTCGATGGGGTTGAGGTCAGGGCTCTGTGCAGGCCAGTCATGTTCTCGACAAACCATTTCTGTATGGACCTCGCTTTGTGCATGGGGACATTGTCATGCTGAAACAGGAAAGGGCCTTCCCTAAACTGTTGCCACAAAGTTGGAAACACAGAATCGTCTATAATGTCATTGGATGCTGTAGATTTCCCTTCACTGGAACTAAGGGGCCTAGCCCGAACCCTGTAGTGAGTGTTGCAACCAAGGACAGACGTTTTTTACGCGCTACGCGCTCGGCAGTCCTGTTCTGTGAGCTTGTGTGGCCTACCACTTTGCGGCTGTGCCACTGTTGCTCCTAGATGTTTCCACTTCACAATAACATCACTTACAGTTGACCGGGGCAGCTCTAGCAGGGCAGAAATTTGACAAAATGACTTGTTAGAAAGGTGGCATCCTATGACGGTGCCACGTTGAAAGTCACTGAGCTCTTCAGTACAGGCCATTCTACTGCCAATGTTTGTCTATGGAGATTGCATGGCTGTGTGCTCGATTTTATACACCTGTCAGCAACGGGTGTGGCTGAAATTGACAAATCCACTAATTTGAAGGGGTGTCCACATACTTGTTTATAAAGTGTATCAATTTAAGGAGAGAAAGGTTTAAGTGTGTTCATATGTACAGTACGTATGTGTGTGCACAGTGGGGAATGGTCAGTGTGTAACCCCGGACCAGTTCCCTCTGCCTGTGTGTCTGCAGTGAGACATGGTGGTGTATGGGTCAGAGCTCCAGGCTCCAGGCAGATGTGATTAGTGTGACCAGATGCCCCGAACGCTCCTCTTCCTGCCCCAGGCACAGTCTGTCACTTCAACTCTACTGTCACACACACAACGCAACACAACGCCCAGCCATCCCTAAAAACATTTACACACTCTCACGCGTTGTACTCCTTTAACAGTACACACAGTACACATTGTTTCTCTGAACCACACACACACACAAACACACCTAGGCATGCACATACACACACACGGACACAAACAGACACACACACACATACACACACAAACCCAACCCCTGCGGGCCTCACATCCCTTTCCCTGTACAGAGGTGACCCAGTCGCCCTCCGTGTTATGACATGCTTAACAGTGTTTAAACAACGGTTCTGTCAAAAACAGAGATCCCTGTCACATCTGAACTGTGTGCTGCAGACGCAGTGTTCTGTTCAAACAATACAGACTGACAGAATGCAATGTTGTGGAGTTCAGCATCGTTTCTGGAGACTCCTTAGCCGCCCAGACTTGTCTGACAGACCTACGGACATAACACTGCCTCCCTCTGATGAGCTCAAATGTTTGGTTCACCGTGACAGAGTACTGTGTGTCTGTGTGTGTGTTTGCGTGTGTGTGTGTGTGTGTGTGTGTGTGTGTGTGTGTGTGTGTGTGTGTGTGTGTTTGCGTGCGTGTGTGTGTGTGTGTGTGTGTGTGTGTGTGTGTGTGTGTGTATGTGTGTGTGTGTGTGTGTGTGTGTGTGTGTTTGCGTGCGTGTGTGTATGTGTGTGTGTGTGTGTGTGTGTGTGTGTGTGTGTGTGTGTGTGTGTGTGTGTGTGTGTGTGTGTGTGTGTGTTTTGCTTTAGCGCACACTTGGGAAATTATTTGTCATTTTCATTTTATTGTTACCATTGGTGATGTGCATGGTTACCTCATTACCTCTTATGTGTAATTAAAGGAAGTGTTATAGCTATCCACGTTAATATCAACCCTGTTTACCAGTTAGTTGCATTATAACTAACATTTTAGAAGCGTTCCCTTCTGCTAACATGCTGGAGGTGTAACTGGACGACCATGGAGAGTTTTTATCCCATCTGCTTGTAGTGGCTGGACCTGGAGAATCCCCCTGTCCGGTTCTTGGTGGCTTAAACTATTGGCAGGCTCTTTCTCTGGAGATCAGCTTGTTGGCTGGCTAGTGCAGAGGCGTCAAAAGATTGCTGTGCCTGCTAGCTGTCATGAATTGAAGTCGAAGATAGGGCTTATTGTTTTTGCTTTCCTTTGCTGGAATTTTCTGTGGCATTCTCACATGCTACCCCCCACCTCTACTCCTGTGCTAACTCTGTTCTCGCTGCTTTAAAATTCTCTTTTAGTGTGTGAGCTGCATTGTGCAGAAGGGATTCAGGGCAATAAAAGGAGGTTTTGTTCAGCGAATCTTCCAAGAGGAACGGTTTCTGGATTTGGAAACAGGTGTGTGGGTGAGGATGTTCTTCTCCCTGAATTTGCAGGGTAAATCCAAATACTGGAGCCAGCTTATCCTCTGTTTTGCATAAAACAACACAGAACAACAATTTGCTATTTTTACAGCTATTTTTTTTCACACAATTCCTCTGCTTTAGTTAGTGCTTTGCTGCTTCCAAAAGAGGAGTGTCGTCTTTGAGAAATATGCATTGACACTCAGAGGTCCTGCAATGCTGAACGCCATTTTCTACAGATCTATCTGTCTTTCCCCTCAGCCCACACAACTTTCATGTTTGTTTACGCCTGCTCTGACTGAAATTGAGAGGATTGTTTCATACAATGCATACTAATTGGGTGGGTGCAGCCTACAAAGGACAATCCAACAATGTGTGTTTCTGTTTTCATAAATGTGATCTCTGTTTCTTAGCGACACTGTGATCTTTGGAGCAGACGTACTGCAGCAGCTGTCTGTGCTGTAGTTCAGAACACACTTGTAGCAGAGCATAGATTCAGGCCTGGAATGGGGTCAGGTCTTTTAGATTCAGGCCTGGAATGGGGTCAGGTCTTTTAGATTCAGGCCTGGAATGGGGTCAGGTCTTTTAGATTCAGGCCTGGAATGGGGTCAGGTCTTTTAGATTCAGGCCTGGAATGGGGTCAGGTCTTTTAGATTCAGGCCTGGAATGGGGTCAGGTCTTTTAGATTCAGGCCTGGAATGGGGTCAGGTCTTTTAGATTCAGGCCTGGAATGGGGTCAGGTCTTTTAGATTCAGGCCTGGAATGGGGTCAGGTCTTTTAGATTCAGGCCTGGAATGGGGTCAGGTCTTTTAGATTCAGGCCTGGAATGGGGTCAGGTCTTTTAGATTCAGGCCTGGAATGGGGTCAGGTCTTTTAGATTCAGGCCTGGAATGGGGTCAGGTCTTTTGAAGGTATCACTATTGCGATGATTGATCGCAAATTTTTTGGGGGGCTTATTTTTTCTCGTATAGTGTATGTTGCGGTGAACAGATAGAGCTTATTTTGTTTCGTTGTTTTGTACAACACTCACACTCAATCAAACAAGGAAAAGCAATTACTACACATCTCTCTATACCTGTGGCATTGTGAGAAACTGAGTGATTATCCAAGTGATTGTGATTATCCGTATAGTGTCAACAGAAAGCAATGTATCATTGTGTGCCAACAAATGATTAGTGTTACTCTTGAAGCATTGATTTATCACTTCCCTCACTCAACACTTCCACTTTCCTTTGCTTCTATCTGAGATGGCAATGTTTGGATCGTTAGAGACTCCTCTCTCTCTCTTCTCTCTAGGTCCCTCTCTGGTCGCATCGTGGGGGGTGTGTGGTGGTTCTTCACCCTCATCATCATCTCGTCCTACACGGCCAACCTGGCTGCCTTCCTCACAGTAGAGAGGATGGTGTCGCCCATAGAGAGTGCTGAGGACCTGGCTAAGCAGACGGAGATCGCCTATGGTACCCTAGACGGAGGCTCCACCAAAGAGTTCTTCAGGGTAAGCTGAAGCTCTAGATGTCATCACTCTGGAAAAGCATTAACTGTCATGAAGTGACTCCAAATTGTTTTTGATGAGGCGGTTACATTCTCACAGAGCACCTATATACAGTATTTTACCCATTTATTGTTTTTGCACCCTAGAGATCAAAAATCGCAGTGTTTGAGAAGATGTGGTCCTACATGAAGTCTGCTGACCCGTCAGTGTTCGTGAAGACCACAGACGAGGGCGTGGTGCGGGTCAGGAAGTCCAAAGGGAGGTATGCCTACCTGCTGGAGTCCACCATGAATGAGTACATCGAGCAGAGGAAACCCTGTGACACCATGAAGGTCGGGGGAAACCTGGACTCCAAGGGTTACGGAGTGGCCACGCCCAAGGGATCAGCACTAAGGTATTACAGTGTGTAGGGCTGGTCACGTCACCATGACGATCGACCACACACGTTGTGTTTTACATGTGAATGCCAAATGCACCCTTGAGGTGAGTGAGGTTTACAATTGCATTTCAAATGATCACACTAATGTAAAGTAAATAATAATCAGTGAAGAGATAATGGCATTAATAAATGTAGCATAATGTTATATATACATTCACAATCTATGGGCAAATTATGCAAATTGTGTCTGTTTCAGTCATGATGCTAGTTAATGTAATGATATAGTGAGATGAAGTCTCATTCAGCCATAGATGACTATTCTGTACTTCTGATTTGTAACCACTCTCACCAGACGTCCAGAACGCTTGTGTCCCTACTGTCTCAACTCAGTCCATAAAGTATCATTAACATAATGTTGAAAGCATGACTGTTCAGGCCCTTACTTCTTCAGACGGACAATGGTTATAATACCATTTTGCAATGTCTTTCTCCTTGGAATAACTAAGAAAACTGGGGGTAATAACTCTTACGAAAATGTAAATTAAGTCTTGACAGATAGTAAATGAAAGCTATTTAAAAGGAACTTTAAATTGCACCCTGATGTTACCTCCTGCAGCTTTTCATCTCAGAACTTCTAGAAATGTACACTTTGGTAGTAAATATCAAAACGGCATTTTCCTAAGAAATAGCACTTGAATTAGAATCCTAGGTTTTAGTTTCATGTACATTTTATTTTAGTACCAAAAACCAATTATGACCCAGTATTTGACTAGTTATTCCCAGTTAAATTCTTTGCAAGATTCTGCTGTTCACATTTAGGAACTCATGTGTTTCACCACTTTTAATGCATCTGTGTTCAATCAGATTTTATTTTCCTCATATTAACAGGCCCATTCACAAAGCACATAGGCTTTAGCAACCTAGCAGCCTTTTTTGATCGATCACTCATGTCGTTTACCTAGTTTATTGTCTACCAATATCTTTATCAAGGTGACAGAAAGAGTGGTGTTTCACAAAAGGCTTTCAAAGTTACTCAATACCAAATGTGATGGCTGGTTCGGACTGGGCTTTACTGCCTCATACATGCTCTGAGATTAATTGTCTTTACACTTAATTGTCTTCTCACGCTGTGGCTGTGGGTTCAAATTACGCACATTTCTAAAATCTTGAGCTAATTCTGTGAATTGGTGTTTTTATGGATTTACATCTTTGGGATTGATATTTTCCTATTCTATAGTCTTAAAGTTGTATAAAATGAGCTCTTGAAAAATAACCATCTAAAACGACTTTAAACCAAACAATGAACACCATGCCACTGTGTACTAACCTATATTTGCACTTTAATGATAGTTTGTGTAATGTTGAAAGTAGAAAAATGATGTTTGAAATAACTGCTGTATGAACTGCAACAACTTTGTCACATCAGATGCATACTATTCTATTATATGAGCTTTGGTTTTGATGATTTGGAAAAATCTCTTAACCATCAGCTTTAAATATGTTGCTATGTCAGATTCGGACAACACCCTTTATCCGCCATCATATGGTTGTAAACTGTGGTCAGTTCTCTATAATATCCATGAAACCCAAATGGACCAAGAGTCCTTCATTGCGATGCATCTGATGTGGCCCATCATTACATCCCACCCTTATCGTGCCTTGCCTGTTGAAACGTTAATCTTTCTTCCTTCCTGTTTTTATTCCTGACATGTTTTATTCCTCACATGTTTTTCCCACATCATGGTCACATCACTTTATTTTGTCAGTCGCATCACAAGAAAACTGCCGCTCTCAAAGACAAATGCTACTAATCCTAATAGAGGATGTATTTTACTCATCCATTAGGCTGACTGACCTCTTTCTTTCCATTCCTCTCTGAATAAGAAAGAATTCAGGGCTTTGGTTTGCTGAGGTTCATGCTGACGTATGGTTCCATTAACCTACTTTTCAGCAGCACCTTCTACCATGTTAGTTATGAGAGGGTTGTCCATAATGGACCAGCAACAGCAAAGGGTGAAGACAAGAGAATGGAGGACAATGTCCAATATCAGTAAAACCTTGGATTAGTGCTCCTTGGCCACAACAATAACACAATGAATGATGATAACTGACGGAAAATTGAATATTGCAAAGTGAATCAACAAGTTGGCTGTTTATGCCTTTTCCTTATCAAGGGAGCTACTTATTTTAGTTGATTTTTAACTGAAATACATACCCACGCAACCAATCCAAGACATTACTGATATTTGTATAGTTCTCCTACCTAGAATCCTTGTCTTGCTTGGTAAAATCTCTCATGGTTTAGCCATGTAGTATTATTTTTATATACAAAACTAGCAACAAATGTTAGTTTTTTTTTTTATCTTACAGTGGCAGGCACATTATTAGTAGACTTAATTGTATACATTTTTCATTGTTCTGATAACAGTACCTCCTTTTGACTATTTAGACATTATTTCTGAACTACCTCTGCCACACACCACGTATCACATCTCCATAAATGCTGACCAGTATTATTCTATTATCATTTCAAGAAACCCAGTAAACCTGGCAGTGTTAAAACTGAACGAGCAGGGCCTGTTGGACAAATTGAAAAACAAATGGTGGTACGACAAGGGCGAGTGCGGCAGCGGGGGAGGTGATTCCAAGGTCAGCCCCAGTATGAGAAACCTAGCAGGGTAACCACAACGATGGGGGGTAACCGGCAACGTAACTTCAAAAACACATCGGCTGCAATATCACAAATCCCCCCTTCGTCCTAGTTGACGTTAGTTTGTGTAAACGTGGAACTATATTGTATGATGAATTCTTCAAAAAAAACGTGCCGTTCACTTTCAAATTAGTTGTATTAGCAATCCCCAAGTAGCACCGTTTCGTGTACGTTTTCTCAAGTACTGTCTTTATAGAGCAACAATAATTGACAGGTTTGCATATCCGAGTGTTTACATTTTGCCGGTTACCCAAAGTGATATAGTAATACACATCTTGCAGTAGGGGAGAAAGGACACAAAGCTAGATGGAGTATTAATGCATATCACTTTGGCAGTGACAGTTTCAAGTTGTGATTGTGTTCTTTTGTTCTTTTTGGATCTGTCTAGACATGTACGTAGAACATATCTAGACATAATAATGGGGTGTCTGTTTACTATGTGCTGAATAACATAAGATAACATGGGTAATGTTATTTATGTCATTTCCTGGTTGAAGAATCCCCGTAAACCTAGCGGTGTTGAAACTCAATGAGCAAGCCGTCTTAGACAAACTGAAAAACAAATGGTGGTACGATAAGGGAGAGTGTGGAAGCAAGGACTCCGGAAGAAAGGTCAGTCCATGTGTTGGTCCTATACTTAACACCAAGATTGAGCATTAGCACTTCTGTAAGGTCCCTCGTCCCCTCGTTCCCTCGTCCCCTCCCTCTTCCTCTTCCTCTTTCTCTCCAATCTGCCATTTATTCTAAAACTGGTGTCCTTGTAACTGTGATTTCATGTCAGCCCTGGAACTCAGACACCTTTAGTGATTTTAGTGATAATTGCTGTGTCCTCACCTGCTATGGATTAGTCAGTGGCCCGTAATTAGATCTTGGTAAATAGCTTGTTTCGTCTAAACCAACAAGTATACCTAGGGTTGTATTCTCTTCTCCAAAATGTGTCTAGCTAAAGATGATGAGCCAAAAAATTTTTAACTGTATAGTGTATGAAAAAACGCAGTTACTGTCAGCGCTAATACACTTGTTTTCCAGTGTCTGGGATATTCTACAGACATCTACAGACAAAGTATTCACAGTTTTCTGAATTAATAGAATTTTGATTTATTTGTGATTTTAACTTTCAAAGTCAAATAAAGAGACACACGGGTAAATGACGGTGTGGAGAGAAAGCCCTTTATACGAGTCCTCCTCCAGAACTGGATCTCCTCTCCTTTAGTGCTGTTTTCCTTGTCTCTGTCTTTAGACAGTGTGCATGCTATTAGATGAGACCTAAGACACGGCCACCAAACCTAGACTACGCATGTCACGGATGTGCACAAACCCTCTTGTGATGTCATGGCAACCATGGCTTGTCGAACCAATTGCCCTCCCTTATTTGGTGCATTTATTTGAAAATCAAATGATATTTTATAAAGATACCCCTACCTATGAAGTAAACCTAAAACAAAGTTGACCTTTTCCTCTTGCATGGTTCCGCTCTATGAGAATCCAGTCTTGGAATGCTTTAGAATACACAACACCAACCACATACAGTGGGGAGAACAAGTATTTGATACACTGCCGATTTTGCAGGTTTTCCTACTTACAAAGCATGTAGAGGTCTGTAATTTTTATTATAGGTACACTTCAACTGTGAGAGACGGAATCTAAAACAAAAATCCAGAAAATCACATTGTATGATTTTTCAGTAATTAATTTGCATTTTATTGCATGACATAAGTATTTGATACATCAGAAAAGCAGAACTTAATATTTGGTACAGAAACCTTTGTTTGCAATTACAGAGATCATACGTTTCCTGTAGGTCTTGACCAGGTTTGCACACACTGCAATAGGGATTTTGGCCCACTCCTCCTTACAGACCTTCTCCAGATCCTTCAGGTTTTGGGGCTGTCGCTGGGACTTTCAGCTCCCTCCAAAGATTTTCTATTGGGTTCAGGTCTGGAGACTGGCTAGGCCACTCCAGGACCTTGAGATGCTTCTTACGGAGCCACTCCTTAGTTGCCCTGGCTGTGTGTTTCGGGTCGTTGTCATGCTGGAAGACCCAGCCACGACCCATCTTCAATGCTCTTACTGAGGGAAGGAGGTTGTTGGCCAAGATCTCGCGATACATGGCCCCACCCATCCTCCCCTCAATACGGTGCAGTCGTCCTGTCCCCTTTGCAGAAAAGCATCCCCAAAGAATGATGTTTCCACCTGCATGCTTCACGGTTGGGATGGTGTTCTTGGGGTTGTACTCATCCTTCTTCTTCCTCCAAACACGGCGAGTGGAGTTTAGACCAAAAAGCTATATTTTTGTCTCATCAGACCACATGACCTTCTCCCATTCCTCCTCTGGATCATCCAGATGGTCATTGGCAAACTTCAGACGGGCCTGGACATGCGCTGGCTTAAGCAGGGGGACCTTGCATGCACTGCAGGATTTTAATCCATGACGGCGTAGTGTGTTACTAATGGTTTTCTTTGAGACTGTGGTCCCAGCTCTCTTCAGGTCATTGACCAGGTCCTGCTGTGTAGTTCTGGGCTGATCCCTCACCTTCCTCATGATCATTGATGCCCCACGAGGTGAGATCTTGCATGGAGCCCCAGACCGAGGGTGATTGACCGTCATCTTGAACTTTTTTCTAATAATTGCGCCAACAGTTGTTGCCTTCTCACCAAGCTGCTTGCCTATTGTCCTGTAGCCTTGTGCAGGTCTACAATTTTATCCCTGATGTCCTTACACAGCTCTCTGGTCTTGGCCAATGTGGAGAGGTTGGAGTCTGTTTGATTGAGTGTGTGGACAGGTGTCTTTTATACAGGTAACGAGTTCAAACAGGTGCAGTTAATACAGGTAATGAGTGGAGAACAGGAGGGCTTCTTAAAGAAAAATTAACAGGTCTGTGAGAGACGGAATTCTTACTGGTTGGTAGGTGATCAAATACTTATGTCATGCAATAAAATGCTAATTAATTACTTACAAATCATACAATGTGATTTTCTGGATTTTAGTTTTAGATTCCCGTCTCTCACAGTTGAAGTGTACCTATGATAAAAAATTACAGACCTCTACATGCTTTGTAAGTAGGAAAACCTGCAAAATCGGCAGTGTATCAAATACTTGTTCTCCCCACTGTATCATTCTGATAGTGTGAAGCACTCTCCCTCGAAAAAGAGATTCTCATCTCAAGGGACTTCCTGGTTCAGTAAATGATCAAAAAACGAACCAGGGGATATAGAATGGAATGAACGTAAGTGTTTTTAATGCAAATGTGATTTTGAATGACTGGACATTATGTCTGATATAAAAGACACGTGTTACCTGTAAATGCACATTAGTCAGCTACTTTCTAAAGCTATGTTCACGCCAAGCCTGTTACATGTGCATGACTCTGCATGTTTCTGTCAGTCTTAGATATGTACTGTATCAAGTATGTTGTTGATCGTAGTAACTTCAATTAGAAAGATATGTCAGCACCTCTCTAGGAGATTGAAACAATAACTTGTTGATTTATCATGAAGGTGCACTTAACGGTATGTGCCGTAGGAGTTCACGATGACAGTAGTGAGACCAGTAGTTGAACGGTTACGTTACACTTCCTTTATCCTAGTGTGCTGTGGTTTGTCTCTTGGGCGTGGTTCGGTGCTTCTCACCCTGTGTCTCTGGGCCTGTAGGACAAGACCAGTGCTCTGAGCCTCAGCAATGTGGCTGGGGTGTTCTACATCCTGATTGGAGGGCTGGGGCTGGCAATGCTTGTGGCCTTGGTCGAGTTCTGTTACAAGTCCAGGATTGAGTCCAGGAGGATGAAGGTAAGCTAAATGGAGGACTGCAGCCAAAACCCTGGCCGTGAACCCACTCGCCGAAGGTGTCTCAGGGGGAGTTGGGATATGCAAAAAACAGATTTTCAATTCACACGTGCATATTAATACACACTTGTACAGATGTAGGATCTTAATTTGATCTCTCTTTTGTTGATGAGAATCTTCCTGCACAACAGGAAATGCAAACGTGTAGTGTAATCAAGGTTTGGAAAGGCTTCTAAAGTTTGTAATTTACACATTAAAATATCAGACTTGATTTGCCCTAACCTAAAATGTATCAACCCCTACATGAAATATCCATTGATTATAATCCACATAATAATTCACATTTCCTGTTGCTGCAGGATTATTTTCCTGCTGTAACAAACTGTCTAAAATTAATATCCTACATGTGTACATGTGTGAAATGGAACAAATATAAGCACCCGTTTAATTATATTTATTTTTTATTATTATAACCTTTATGCAATGACAAAGGCTCTATGATATAATAACATACAGTATGTATGACTCTAACTTGGCAATCATTATTATCTACATCTGCCGCCTATATGACTCCCACAGAGATACTGTTAAAACCCCTGAACTACAGAGATACTGTTAAAACCCCTGAAATACAGAGATACTGTAAAAACCCCTGAACTACATTTACATTTACATTTACGTCATTTAGCAGACGCTCTTATCCAGAGCGACTTACAGTTAGTGAATACATATCTTTTTTTTTATACTGGCCCCCCGTGGGAATCGAACCCACAACCCTGGCTACAGAGATACTGTAAAAAAAACTGAACTACAGAGATACTGTTAAAACCCCTGAACTACAGAGATACTGTTAAAACCCCTGAACTACAGAGATACTGTTAAAACACCTGAACTACAGAGATACTGTTAAAACCCCTGAACTACAGAGATACTGTTAAAACCCCTGAACTACAAAGATACTGTAAAAAACCCTGAACTACAGAGATACTGTAAAAAACCCTGAACTACAGAGATACTGTTAAAACCCCTGAACTACAGAGATACTGTTAAAAACCCTGAACTACAGAGATACTGTTAAAACACCTGAACTACAGAGATACTGTTAAAACACCTGAACTACAGAGATACTGTTAAAACACCTGAACTACAGAGATACTGTTAAAACCCCTGAACTACAGAGATACTGTTAAAACCTCTGAACTACAGAGATACTGTTAAAACCCCTGAACTACAAAGATACTGTAAAAAACCCTGAACTACAGAGATACTGTAAAAAACCCTGAACTACAGAGATACTGTTAAAACCCCTGAACTACAGAGATACTGTAAAAACTCCTGAACTACAGAGATACTGTTAAAACACCTGAACTACAGAGATACTGTTAAAACACCTGAACTACAGAGATACTGTTAAAACACCTGAACTACAGAGATACTGTTAAAACACCGGAACTACAGATATACTGTTAAAACACCTGAACTACAGAGATAATGTACATCCCCTTGAACTACAGAGATACTGTGCATCCCCCTGAACTACAGATATACTGTTAAAACACCTGAACTACAGATATACTGTAAAAACACCTGAACTACAGAGATACTGTTAAAACCCCTGAACTACAGATATACTGTTAAAACCCCTGAACTACAGATATACTGTAAAAACACCTGAACTACAGAGATACTGTTAAAACCCCTGAACTACAGAGATACTGTAAAAACACCTGAACTACATAGATACTGTAAAAACACATGAACTACAGAGATACTGTTAATACCCCTGAACTACAGAGATACTGTAAAAAACCCTGAACTACAGAGATACTGTTAAAAACCCTGAACTACAGAGATACTGTTAAAACACCTGAACTACAGAGATACTGTTAAAACACCTGAACTACAGAGATACTGTTAAAACCCCTGAACTACAGAGATACTGTTAAAACACTTGAACTACAGAGATACTGTTAAAACACCTGAACTACAGAGATACTGTTAATACCCCTGAACTACAGAGATACTGTAAAAACACCTGAACTACAGAGATACTGTTAATACCCCTGAACTACAGAGATACTGTTAAAAACCCTGAACTACAGAGATACTGTTAAAAACCCTGAACTACAGAGATACTGTTAAAACACCTGAACTACAGAGATACTGTTAAAACACCTGAACTACAGATATACTGTTAAAACCCCTCAACTACAGAGATACTGTTAAAACACTTGAACTACAGAGATACTGTTAAAAACCCTGAACACAGAGATACTGAACACACAGATACTGTACATCCCCCTGAACTACAGATATAATGTACATCCCTCTGAACCATAGGACTGAAGACTGAAGCACTTTGTCAGGCAGAGAGCTGTTTTAATGAAAGGTTCCATGCAATCAGCTACTGACCCTACAGCTACTAGATGACTGTGATTTGGGTAATTGTGCTGAAGAGTTATGTGTGTGAGGAGAATATGTCACACCACGTCTTAGTTATACAGTATTTATTATTCTGTTGTGTACTGTATCGTCTGAGGTATTAGAGACACCTGCCTTTTTGTTTGTAATCTCCATCTTTGATGACCTAGATTTGATTGAAAGCAATCGCATAATAGCTGCCAGATGCATGTGATCATGCTACAGTATACAGTAATTTCCTATTTAGATCAAATTTCATTTTACCAGATAATTAGTTCAGACTTGTGTATGACTTTCATTTACAACTTCTCATTATCCTCATGAACTTAATGCTTCATATTTTTTTCAATGTATTTATTTATAATAAAAAAAAAAAATTAAACGAACATCCAAATGCAGTAGACTGTAATTAGATGGGGTTGTTTACTGCATCAGAAGACATGAAACCAGGGACTTTCTTTGCATATGAGCAACAGAAGTGATTTAATGTCATGATGATATCTTAATGTGTATATGATACATCACTGCTGTACATGTTCAGCTCCAGCATAAACAGACAGATTCACATAACTGCTGTGTTTAACGTATCACAGCCACAAATCGCTGCTGCCAGTAGACCAATTAGTCTGCATCAGCCGAAAGAGCATAATCCTCGGGATCTATTGAAGTGTGCTTGATTTAAATCATTTATACACTGAGGATGTACAAGCCAACATCCAGATCATTAGCTCCAGTTTCAAGCCTACAGGGTTTCATTATGTTAAACTAATGCAGAAGAGAGTAGGCTGGGAGCTAGCGCCTCGCGGTTCTGCTTGCGCTATTGTTATGGGTTCGGCCTCATATTTTGCATGGTACAATTATTGCACATGGCTCTCCACTGTGTGAAATAAACAGAGAGCAATGAGCAGAGAGAATGAGTTCAGTCTCATCTTTCACAAGAGTTTACGAAGGAATAAAATCAATTGAGTGACATAGCACAGAAGTCAGGTTTGGCTGTTTGCAAATCCCTGTTTTATACCAAGTAACTGAACCAATAATGACAACGGCTGTTTCAAGTACATTTTTGTTTATTAAAGCATTACCGATGGACATGTCTGTCATATATTGAACTCAGTAAAGGAAAATGAACCCAGTAGAGTTCAGTAGATGAACTCAGTAGAGATCAGTAGAGTTCAGTAGATTAACTCAGTAGAGTTCAGTAGATTAACCCAATAGAGTTCAGTAGATTAACTCAGTAGAGTTCACTAGAGTTTAGTAGATTAACTCAGTAGAGTTCAGTAGATGAACTCAGTAGAGTTCAGTAGATTAACCAAGTAGAGTTCAGTAGATTAACCCAGCAGAGTTCAGTAGATTAACCCAGCAGAGTTCAGTAGATTAACCCAGCAGAGTTCAGTAGATTAACCCAGCAGAGTTCAGTAGATGAACCCAGTAGAGTTCAGTAGATGAACCCAGTAGAGTTCAGTAGATGAACTCAGTAGAGTTCACTAGAGTTCAGTAGATTAACTCAGTAGAGTTCAGTAGATTAACCCAATAGAGTTCAGTAGATTAACTCAGTAGAGTTCAGTAGTAACTCGTAAGTCAGTAGATTCAGTAGATTACCAGTAGAGTTCCAGAGTTCAGTAGATTAACCCAGTAGAGTTCAGTAGATTAACCCAGTAGAGTTTCAGTAGATTAACCCAGTAGAGCTCAGTAGAGTTCAGTAGATTAACCCAGTAGAGTTCAGTAGATAATCAGTAGAGTTCAGTAGATCAGTAGATACCCAGTAGAGTTCAGTAGATTAACCCAGTAGAGTTCAGTAGATTAACCCAGTAGAGTTCAGTAGATTAACCAGTAGAGTTCAGCCAGTAGAGTTCAGTAGATTAACTCAGTAGAGTTCAGTAGAGTTCAGTAGATTAACTCGTAGAGCTCAGTAGAGTTCAGTAGATTAACCCAGTAGAGTTCAGTAGATTAACCCAGTAGAGTTCAGTAGAGTTCAGTAGATTAACCCAGTAGAGTTCAGTAGATTAACCCAGTAGAGTTCAGTAGATTAACTCAGTAGAGTCAGTAGATTAACCCAGTAGAGTCAGTAGAGTTCAGTATATTAACCCAGTAGAGTTCAGGTAGATTAAACCCAGTAGGTTCAGGTAGATTAACCCCAGTAGGTTTCAGTAGATTCAACCCCAGTAGAGTTCCAGTAGAGTTCAGTAGATAACCCAGTAGAGTTCAGTAGAGTCAGTAGATTAAACCCAGTAGAAGTTCAGTAGATTAATACCCAGTAGAGTTTCAGTAGATTTAATAACCCAGTAGAGGTTCAGTAGAGTTCAGTAGATTAACCCAGTAGAGTTCAGTATATTAAACCCAGTAGAGTTCAGTTAGATTAAACCCAGTGAGTTCAGGTTAGATTAACCCAGTTGGAGTTCCAGTAGAGTTCAGTAGATTAAACCCAGTAGATTCAGTAGAGTTAGTAGATTAACCCATTAGGAGTGCAGTAGATTAACCCAGTAGAGTTCAGTAGCTTAACCCCAGTAGAGTTCAAGTAGAGTTCAGTAGATTAACCCAGTAGAGTTCATTATAGTTCAGTAGAGTTCAGTAGATAACCCAGTAGAGTTCAGGTAGTATTAACCCAGTAGAGTTCAGTAGAGTCAGTAATACCCAGTAGAGTTCAGTAGATTCAGTAGATTAACCCAGTAGAGTTCAGTAGAGTTCAGTAGATTAACCCAGTAGAGTTCAGTAGAGTTCAGTAGATTAACCCAGTAGAGTTCAGTAGAGTGTCAGTAGAGTTCAGTAGATGAACCCAGTAGAGTTCAGTAGATTCAGTAGAGTTCAGTAGTGACCATAGAGTTCAGTAGATGAACCAGTAATTCAGTAGAGTTCAGTAGAGTTCAGTAGATGAACCCAGTAGAGTTCAGTAGAGTTCAGTAGATCAGTAGAGTTCAGTAGAGTTCAGTAGATTAACCCAGTAGAGTTCAGTAGGTTCAGTAGAGTTCAGTAGATGAACCCAGTAGAGTTCAGTAGAGTTCAGTAGATTAACCCAGTAGAGTTCAGTAGAGTTCATAGATTAACCCAGTAGAGTTCAGTAGAGTCAGTCAGACCAGTAGAGTTCAGTAGATTAACCAGTAGAGTTCAGTAGAGTTCAGTAGATTAACCCAGTAGAGTTCAGTAGAGTTCAGTAGAGTTAACCAGTAGAGTTCAGTGAGATTAACCCAGTAGAGTTCAGTAGAGTTCAGTAGAGTTCTAGATACCCAGTAGAGTTCAGTAGAGTTCATAGATTAACCCAGTAGAGTTCAGTAGATTACCCAGTAGAGTTCAGTAGAGTTCAGTAGATTAACCCAGTAGAGTTCAGTAGAGTTCAGTAGATTAACCCAGTAGAGTTCAGTAGAGTTCAGTTATAGATTAACCCAGTAGAGTTCATAGATTAACCCGTAAGTAGAGAGTTCAGTAGATTAACCCAGTAGAGTTCAGTAGAGTTCATAGTTAACCCAGTAGAGTTCAGTAGAGTTCAGTATTAACCCAGTAGAGTTCATAGATTAATCCAGTAGAGTTCAGTAGATTAACCCAGTAGAGTTCAGTAGATTAACCCAGTAGAGTTCAGTAGAGTTCAGTAGATTAACCCAGTAGAGTTCAGTAGAGTTCAGTAGATTAACCCAGTAGAGTTCAGTAGATTAACCCAGTAGAGTTCAGTAGATTAACCCAGTAGAGTTCAGTAGAGTTCAGTAGATTAACCCAGTAGAGTTCAGTAGAGTTCAGTAGATTAACCCAGTAGAGTTCAGTAGATTAACACAGTAGAGTTCAGTAGAGTTCAGTAGAGTTCAGTAGATGAACCCAGTAGAGTTCAGTAGAGTTCAGTAGATTAACCCAGTAGAGTTCAGTAGAGTTCAGTAGAGTTCAGTAGATTAACCCAGTAGAGTTCAGTAGATTAACCCAGTAGAGTTCAATAGAGTTCAGTAGATGAACCCAGTAGAGTTCAGTAGAGTTCAGTAGATGAACCCAGTAGAGTTCAGTAGATGAACCCAGTAGAGTTCAGTAGATGAACCCAGTAAAGTTCAGTAGAGTTCAGTAGAGTTCAGTAGATTAACCCAGTAGAGTTCAGTAGATTAACCCAGTAGAGTTCAGTAGAGTTCAGTAGAGTTCAGTAGATGAACCCAGTAGAGTTCAGTAGATTAACTCAGTAGAGTTCAGTAGATTAACTCAGTAGAGTTCACTAGAGTTCAGTAGAGTTCAGTGGAGTTCAGTAGATTAACCCAGTAGAGTTCAGTAGAGTTCAGTAGATTAACCCAGTAGAGTTCAGTAGAGTTCAGTAGAGTTCAGTAGATTAACCCAGTAGAGTTCAGTAGAGTTCAGTAGATTAACCCAGTAGAGTTCAGTAGATTAACACAGTAGAGTTCAGTAGAGTTCAGTAGAGTTCAGTAGATGAACCCAGTAGAGTTCAGTAGAGTTCAGTAGATTAACCCAGTAGAGTTCAGTAGAGTTCAGTAGAGTTCAGTAGATTAACCCAGTAGAGTTCAGTAGATTAACCCAGTAGAGTTCAGTAGAGTTCAGTAGAGTTCAGTAGATGAACCCAGTAGAGTTCAGTAGAGTTCAGTAGAGTTCAGTAGATGAACCCAGTGGAGTTCAGTAGATGAACCCAGTAGAGTTCAGTAGATGAACCCAGTAGAGTTCAGTAGATGAACCCAGTAGAGGTCAGTAGAGTTCAGTAGAGTTCAGTAGATTAACCCAGTAGAGTTCAGTAGATTAACCCAGTAGAGTTCAGTAGAGTTCAGTAGAGTTCAGTAGATGAACCCAGTAGAGTTCAGTAGATTAACTCAGTAGAGTTCAGTAGATTAACTCAGTAGAGTTCACTAGAGTTCAGTAGAGTTCAGTGGAGTTCAGTAGATTAACCCAGTAGAGTTCAGTAGAGTTCAGTAGATTAACCCAGTAGAGTTCAGTAGAGTTCAGTAGAGTTCAGTAGATTAACCCAGTAGAGTTCAGTAGATTAACCCAGTAGAGTTCAGTAGAGTTCAGTAGATTAACCCAGTAGAGTTCAGTAGAGTTCAGTAGATTAACCCAGTAGAGTTCAGTAGATTAACCCAGTAGAGTTCAGTAGAATAACCCAGTAGAGTTCAGTAGAGTTCAGTAGATTAACCCAGTAGAGTTCAGTAGAGTTCAGTAGAGTTCAGTAGATGAACCCAGTAGAGTTCAGTAGATTAACACAGTAGAGTTCAGTAGAGTTCAGTAGAGTTCAGTAGATGAACCCAGTAGAGTTCAGTAGAGTTCAGTAGATTAACCCAGTAGAGTTCAGTAGAGTTCAGTAGAGTTCAGTAGAGTTCAGTAGATTAACCCAGTAGAGTTCAGTAGATTAACCCAGTAGAGTTCAGTAGAGTTCAGTAGAGTTCAGTAGAGTTCAGTAGATGAACCCAGTAGAGTTCAGTAGATGAACCCAGTAGAGTTCAGTAGATGAACCCAGTAGAGTTCAGTAGAGTTCAGTAGAGTTCAGTAGAGTTCAGTAGATTAACCCAGTAGAGTTCAGTAGATTAACCCAGTAGAGTTCAGTAGAGTTCAGTAGAGTTCAGTAGATGAACCCAGTAGAGTTCAGTAGATTAACTCAGTAGAGTTCAGTAGATTAACTCAGTAGAGTTCACTAGAGTTCAGTAGAGTTCAGTGGAGTTCAGTAGATTAACCCAGTAGAGTTCAGTAGAGTTCAGTAGATTAACCCAGTAGAGTTCAGTAGAGTTCAGTAGAGTTCAGTAGATTAACCCAGTAGAGTTCAGTAGAGTTCAGTAGATTAACCCAGTAGAGTTCAGTAGAGTTCAGTAGATTAACCCAGTAGAGTTCAGTAGATTAACCCAGTAGAGTTCAGTAGAGTTCAGTAGAGTTCAGTAGATTAACCCAGTAGAGTTCAGTAGAGTTCAGTAGATTAACCCAGTAGAGTTCAGTAGATTAACCCAGTAGAGTTCAGTAGAGTTCAGTAGATTAACCCAGTAGAGTTCAGTAGAGTTCATTAGATTAACCCAGTAGAGTTCAGTAGAGTTCAGTAGATTAACCCAGTAGAGTTCAGTAGAGTTAATGGGTAACTATCATGTATTGTTGTTGTGTAACTCCCTGTGTTATCCCATGCAGCAAATCATCGATGCAGCCATGCTGAGTTCCACCCTGAGCCGGATGACCAGGACAGGGAGCGGGGGCGAGAACGGACGGGTGGTCGCCCATGACTTCCCCAAAGCGTCACAGACTATCCCCTGCATGAGCCAGGCCGCGGGCATGTGACGGGGCAGCCCTTCCTCTGCCAGGACCCCACAAAATAGAGGAAAAGAAAAGAGAGGAAGGGGCGAAGGTGTTGCACTGCGGCTGAACTACTGCCAATAGGATTCACTGACTGCTCACTCTGAAGATGGAAACAACCCAACAAAATCACTTTTCTAAACAGATGGTTTATTTGGATCTCTTCTGCTGCAATAAAGAAGGCTGTCTTGGACTTTGATGGAAGGCATACTTTTGTGTATCTAAAAAAAGAGAAGCTCTTCCCCAACCCAAGAATAGTGACACTTTTTGCACTATGTCAATTCAGTTTGTCCTGTCTACAATTCAGTTAGTCCTGTCTACTACTATCATTAACAGTCATGAACAGCTACAGTGGGGTCTGAAATTATTGAACCCCTTCATAAAGATGAGCAATAATGTATAAAATAAATAATTCAAATACTGAGCTATATTGTATGCAACAACAAAAAGAGGAAATGATATTATTTTATACTAATACAATAGCTCGGAGAAAGAGATTTTGTTTATCAAGTTTACTACATTTTGTCTCTCAAAAAGGCAAGGGTCAAAATGATTGACACCCCTAAAGATTCTTATAAATAAAGTAGTCAAAAGTGTAGTATTTGGTCCCATATTCCTAGCACGCAATGACTACATCAAGCTTGTGACTCTACAAACTTGTTGGATGCATTAGCAGTTTGTTTTGGTTTTGTTTTAGATTATTTTGGACCCAATAGAAATTAATGGTAGATAATGTATTGTCATTTTGGAGTCCTTTCTATTATAAATAAGAAGAGAGTATGTTTGTGAACACTTCTACATCAATGTGGATGCTACCATGATTACGGATAATCCTGAATGAATCGTGAATAATGATGAGTGAGAAAGTTACAGAGGGTCAAAGATTACACCCCGAAGACACGAGGTTAGCATGTCTTGGGGGTATGACCTTTGAGTGAACAATATAGCTCAGTATTTGAATTATTTATTTTATACAGTCATTAATGCTTATCTTTATGAAGCGTGTCAATAATTTCGGAACCCCACTGTATGTCATCTGCCTTATACTGAACAGTGGTTTTGTTCCTTGTGACACAAAGATTCAAGCGTTACCAATTCCAAACATTTGACTTTCACTTAGCACACTATCTATAGGTGCATACAGTATGCTGAATAAAACTACTGCTGAACGTTTTCGCGCATCACATAGGAATGGATGATTTCTGTATTATTTCTCGTACGAGCCCCTTTGTCAACGTCACTGTATTGAAATTGAATTCCTATTTACAGATTTCCTCTCTAAATTTGCCCAACACCTGACATGGACGAAACATTTTACATTTTGAAATGACTACAAAACTATATGTTTTTTTTTTTGTGCAGCTATGACATATTTCCCAACCATTTTCCCCAGTGTGTTCCCCTGTCATTCAAATATGTTAAACCAGCAGTTTGTAGGTCATTTCCATTTAGTCATCTAGCACTCTTATCCAGAGCCACTGGTCCCCAGTGAAAATTGAACCCACAACTCTGGCTGTTGCAAGTGCCACGCTCTACCAACTGAGCCACACGAGATTAAAGGATTCAACTGAGCGCAGGTAGAACAGACAATATCATTTCTGCCTGCTGTTTCATGATGCATGTTGCCATTAGTGGTTCAGAGTTGAAGTATAAAGCCATTGATAAAGAGATGAAAATGTTCCATAACCAATGCGCCGGGAAGTAGATGGCAGTACAATATCTAGTGGTTTAACATCTTTGACGTGAATGAGATGACTAATCGGAGTGGCGTTAGCGTTGGAAATGAGGCGGTGTGAGAAGATGACACAATTAGCCCACAAATTAGGGTGTGCCATTTTCATTTAACATTACAAATCCACTGATGTTTCAGGCTTGTAAACCTACCATGTGGATGGTGTTTTTGAAAAAAAGGCAATATGATTTAAGACAATTGTACAATTTCACAACTTTTGGGATCTACAGTACATGAACAGTACAAGCACAAGAACACTTACAATTGACACTGCACGGTCATGTTTGTACTGTTACATGTTATTGTACTGTGAGGGACAGCATCTCATGGTCCATTGAGCAGCCATCCATCATATCTGTCACTATCCGTCACCCAATATGTTACTGTATGACTCGAAGAGTCATCGTCTTCTATGAATTTTCTCCCTATTTGTCATCCTCTTTGGCATAGCACATAAAAAAGTGTCACACAACTAAAACGTAATTTTTTTGTACTGTACCTTTATCAAGTTGTTTGAAAAAATAAGTAATATCCACATTTGTATGGTAAGAACTGTAATGTAAGACACCCTGATGATGTTGAAATGATGTTCCATTCAGTTGACCTGGTTGAGTCAGTTTTGTTCAAAGCTATTCTCAGTCCAATAGATTTTGTGCATTTATAGTGAGATTACATTTATATTGTCCTTTTAAATAATATTTGGGTCTGCCACCACTTAGTTTAATTTACGTCTCAAAATGCAAGATAAAATCTACCTTAATGTCTTTGTGTTCACCTCTGTCTCGAGATAGCTTTTAGAAAAAGACTCATGCAAGATTTGGATTTCAATAGGTGGGTAAAGAAAACTTTGTTGAATAACAGTGCTCTCAATAAATTCAAAACTTTTGTAACCACATTCCTGGTTGTCTTTTCTATTTGCTCAGCGCTCTGCTTGGTCTGGAGAGAATAGGATTGTGAGGCTATGGAGTGAAAATAGTTCTGGAGAGACAGAGAGAAAGAGAGACTCCCCTTGTGTTTACCTCTACAGTGTCATTAAATCAGTGAACTGAAGAAGGGTAATTGTTCGAAGATTGCCTTTTAGAATGTCCACAAAAAAACATGTCCTGATGGAGTCTCTTGAATCGGAGGTATCAAGTGGATCCGTTGCTACGTAGAGTAAAACTTCCTCGTCATTTCCCTCCCCTTGATTTCCCCACAGGTGAGTACTGTTACAGGAACGTGTATTTGGTGTTGAGTACACAGTGTAGCGATCCTCGCTATATGAGCCACTTTACAATTCCCACCGAGTGGGTTAACCCTATTGGCGTGAAGGGTAGCGTGTTTGCCTTTCGCTACAGTAGATGCAGTATCTCCATGCTGTTCTTTTCACATGCTGTGCTGTGAGTCTTCCTGTTGAACCAGAGTGGGGTAGGGGAGAGTGGGATAATTTGAGCCAAAGGGTTAGTTGAACCACCCCTTGTTTCTAGGAAACCACGAACAAAAATTAATCATTAGACCAAATATTTAGCAAGAGGTCATCATTTAATGGAGTCTGTGACGGAAGAAATCACATGGAAAAAGTTAGGTCCAAAAAACTGATGTTCACCAAGTCAAATGAATTGATTGTGTTAGAGGTTTAATGATGCTTGTATCCAAACCAAAGTAGATCGTTTTAAGATTGTTTTATACATCAGTTGGGGTCATTATATCCCACGGGGGGCTAGTATGAAAAAATTAAAATAATGTATGCACTCACTAACTGTAAGTCGCTCTGGAAAGAGCGTCTGCTGAATGACGTAAATGAATGAATGAAATGATTATAAGCTGCAATATGAGGTCCTAAACCTAGCATGAAAGTGCATCCTTGTAGCTGTGTGGGCTAATATAGTCAACAGGTTTGCCTTGGGGTAAGTTGAGCCAATTACCACCATACCCCATACAAATGCTAATTACATTCGGTCAGTTTTATGCATAGTATGCATAGTATTTTTGCAATGTGTCATGAATATGAACTCAAGATAGTGCATTTGCATTGTTACAGAGCAGACATCATCATGCCTCGTGTATTAAACATAAAACAAGCAGGGGGTCTAGCCCCCCTTGAGGTTCTTGAGAGAGCAGCCAAGGAAGTGAGGGAAGGGAAGAAGTCCATTAGAAGTCCATTAGAGCCGCAGCAAGGGATGAAAAAAATAGACTGAATGACACTGAAGAGGTACATTAACAAAAAAGACAATGAACATGTACCTGTTCGAAAGAGAGGCTATGATAGAGCAGCAGAGGCACTCAAGGTCTTATCTGATGACGTGGAGTCTGAGCTTGATAAACATATTAAGAATCTCACAGACCAGTTTCATGGGCTTAGTAGCATTTAATGCAGAGAACTTGCCTAGGAATTGGCACATCGAAACAACATCCCTGTCCCAGACAACTGGTCAAGAAACGGAAGGATAAGTGATATTTAACAGAGAGATCTACACTGAGTGTACAAAACATTAAGGACACCTTCCTAATATTGAGTTGCATCCCTCCAAGGAGGCTTCCAAGAGACCACTTTCTTGGACAAGCTATGTTTTCTAAAATCTTATGTTTACATGAATTCTGATTATTTCCAGGGATACACAACATCCTGAAATGTATTTAGATAACTTTGTTAGAAATAATACTTTATTTCCCTTTACATAGTGACGCTGAATGTTTAAAATGACTCAACTTACCCCACTCTTCCCTATTGAGCACAATAAATGTCTCATTTCCCCCACAAAGCTGACCATTCCAGGCAATGTGCTGTCGGACGAAACCCCAGACCTTTTTCACTTAATACCAAACACAGGAAATATCCTGATGGTTCAGAGACACAATGCAAACTTAGGGCTACCTAGAACCTAAACGGGTTCTTCTGCTGTCCCCATAGGAGAACCCTTTGAGGAACCTGTTTTGGTTCCAGGAAGAACCCTTTTGGGGTTCATGTAGGACCCTTTCCACAGAGGGTTCTACATGGGACCCAAAAGGGTTCTACATGGAACAAAAAAGCGTTCTCGCTGGAACCAGAAGGGATTATGTTATGGGGACAGCCGAAGTACCCTTTTGGTAGAGTGTTTTAGAATTTCTCTCTCCGTTTCCCTCTGTTCATTTCTTTTCTGTTCTGTTCTCTGTGTGAGAGTTCTTACTCGTCAAACAAAATAAATAAACAAAATGGACATATGCCTCAAAAGTCTACGACCTTTTGTTCTTTGTTTTGTGAACTGGGGGCATCATATAGCGTAACACATCATTA